ATCATGTCCAACAAACCACTGCTGATGCGACACAACTCATGCGGCACCTGCACATCAATGGCGGCCAAGAGTGATGATGTCTCATCGTCCAGCTCCAAAACAAGGACGAGCCTCGAGACGGCGAGTCCCTTCACGAAACAGCGTAGCGCGTCAGTTTACCACCATCCCAAGCCGAGGCTGAGAGAGACGCGGAGTCTGGGCTCGCCGAAGAAGCTAGAAAGATGAGTTCCCGCCGCCTCCGCGTTGTGTGTGAATCACGTCGTCAGAGTATGTTGCAGGGTGTGTGTGTATGTATGCTTGCATACATATGCGTGTGTGCGTGCGCGCGTGTATGCACATGTGTGTGTGCATAAGCGCCGTATGTATCGGTACACCTGCATCGCAGCATTATCGTAGATTTCAACAACAGGGAGCAGTGTTATGATTGTACAGGAGATAGTCCACATGCTGTAGTGGTAAAATACCGGTACATTACTACTTATCATGAATAAAGCAGATCTCCCTACTGACTGCATGCACTGCACCAGTAGTAAAATACCGGTACATTACTACTCACCACGTGCACTGTACCAGTCGGCCGCCATGAGTAGGCTATGGTCACCGGTGTGCGTGCACAATCCGCACTCTCAGTACGAGTGTACAGACAGCTGTACTTCAGTGCCTCTCTGATGCATGCTCATCACCTGCACTCACCGTCACAGACTCGCCAGTTTCGACTCTTCCATACTCCTCCCTTGACTTATTCGATAAAACTTATTCGATTTCCCTCCAAACCCGCCGCCTGCTGCGATTTCTATTTTATGCTCTTCATAATCATTTCTTACCTTTCCCAAATCATGATTATAAAACTCACGTACAATGGAACCGTTATATGAATGCTCCTGGCAGCGTCATGATATTTTCGCCCCTATTTTCATGATAATATTTTCCCTTCTTTCATGATGATATTTTCCCTTCTTTCATGATACTATTAATTTTTGCCCTTCCCCTGCAGCTGCGACTCCATCGCTCGCGCTGTCTACTATGCTTCTCGTTTTCAAACATTTTTTAACTTTTCCGGTGCTCATGTGCCTGGCACTGCCCAACCCTCGGTCTCGTGACCGAATTTGTTTTTATATTCTTTAGAACTTGTTTTAGATTCTTCCAAGAATAACTGTCTTTGTGCATGTGTATTATTGCCCAGAAGAGTCTTTGTGGTGTACAGTTTAACCAGGGAGTCGGTATTTTACGACTCCCTGAGTTTAACTACAAAGGGCTGCTCAATGAAATCCGGTCGTACAATGCACTGTATAAGTTTTCAAGTTTGCGCCTTTCACCATTTCACAGCCCAGTGTTAGCAGGTCTAGGGCTGCGCAACGCCCGGCGGCGCGTACCTGAGTGACTCGTCTGGATTTCATTGAACACTGCTGTACTTAGTCCCGGCTTGAGTGGAGATGTCCCTTTGTCCGTGATCCGACCAGCGGTGTACGGCTGGTGTGTACAACGTGTATAGGGGTGATACTTAAGTACGTGTGAATGGTGTTGAGTGTCAGGATGGCACTATCGTCCTGCTTGAGTCTCACCGCTCCACGGTAATGTAGTGAGCAAACTCAGGATTCTAGGAGATCTGCTGCTGCACCGTGACCTTCCGGGAATTCCGCACCATCAACTGTACGCACCATGTCATTGCCCACTGGCACTGCATATATCTGTCCCCCTGGAAAATAGCGGGAAAAAATTCGGAATTATGTGCAAGAAATTGCGGGTGAAAACAGTGAAAAATGTGGGCCAGGCATAGTAAATTTGCGGAAACTGCAGTATCTTGCAACGATAGTAAAACGTGAATAGCAAGGAATTTCGAAGCGCGAAGAACAGTGCGATGTCAACGTTCGGCCCTGGGGACAAAAGTTCACAGCCACGCACTTCGTGTACACCAAGAAGTACACGTAGCAGCGCACAGAACACACCATGCATGAAAATTTGTACAGGGTGGGCTCACGAATTCACTGAAAATCGAGGCAAAATGGAAGAAAATTGCATTTTTTCCACGGTATAAAATGCCAGATTCGTGGAAACCAGCGGAATTTGTGGCGGCCGCGGAATCGTGATTTTCCAAGGGGACAGATATAATTATTACTCGTATCTACACCAAAATCTGATGCAATCTCAGGAATTTCACTCAGCGACAGACACCCATGCAGAAAACGTCTGAAGCTGCACACCGCTCTCAGTCTCTGGGTTTCCTTGCCCTGGTACAGTCAGACCTCGCATAATCGCACACATCCGTTTTCCAGAAAAATATCCAGATAGGCGAGGGAACCGGATAATCGAACACACATACTGGAGGTGTGCATGACATATGCTGTAAATCGGTCACCAACGATTTTCTTCCGGATGGCGAGGGATCCGGATAAAAGAGGACTGGGTAAGCGAGGTCTGACTGTACACTGGTTAGTACCACATCGGTTACAATACAAATCTCATCAGTAGACAATGATCAAAAATCCCATGACGCCTGGAACGCGTACATGCAAGTCCGGATAGTAGATTATACTCACAAAAAAATTGAAACCGTCTGCAAACGATGGTGGACATGTACTTAAAAAAATTCAAAAAAATTCGACGGGTTCGTGTACCGGGCAGGTCAAGAACAAGGAGTCGTTAACAGCATGACCATAATTATGTTCAACTTCATTAAACTGTCAATAAACACATGCTCATACATGTAATACATATCAAGACGGGCAAAGTTGAAATATTACGACACCACAGCAGGTCTGGCAACAGGACACGTTCATGGATTACCGGGTTTCTCCCGTGCAAGGTAAACACGCGTAATAACTATTTCGACTCCGACGGCGTGTTTGTCCGTACGAGACGCGTATGTGCACGTGCCCGCATGCAGTAGCCGCTATACCGTATGTTGGCTTCGCACATCTTCACTCTGCAGCTCGCCTCTCGTGGAGACAGGAGTAGACATATTACGACTTGCGCAGCTGTCGTCGTGTTATGCTCATAGCAGAGGCAGGAGTAGACATATTATGACTTGCCTAGCTGTCCGACCGTGAACACGTGCGTTGTGGATGGAGACATCGCTATGGCTTCCACGTTATGACTTTGATGGCCGTGTTGGTTGCCTCGACGACCGCACGGCTCGGGTGACGTTTCAGCGGCGTGAACTGCAGACGGATCAAAACAAGAAGAAAATAACGTCGGCTTGATATTCTGTCGAGACAGCAGGGTATGTTGGAGTTGCACACTTGGGGGGGGGGGGGGTATGTACTGTAGAACTGTAGAACAGCTAATTGTAGCGGGTAAACATGTTAGCGTTTTCTGAATCTGGACCAATTCACGATGAAGTATTTTAGCGATCCGAGTTTCAGACTTTAAAAAGAAGGATGACTTGTCCTGCTGTACTTTATTATATGCACATTTTCGATTGGTGCGGCACAACTTTGGCGAAAACACTCCTTTCGCTAAAGTCGCTAAAAATATCACCGTCGCTAAAATTAGCACTCTTACAGCAACCCTCAAGAGGGTGCAACTCGAGCTACAGTAGAGTCGTGCGTCCAAGAACGTTGTTTCCAAGGGGTAAGCCTGGGGCATTCTTATTTTTCCACAATCTGACGGCGTTCCCATTGCACGTTCTTAGAAACAATTCGTACAAGATCTATTACTTCGAAGTATATATTCCACAAGCTGCTGGAAAACTATCAGTATCACCGCCGTTCTTAATTTTAGGCTATGGCGTTCTTAGCATATCAGCCTGGACGTTCTTGGGCTCAACGTTCTTCGACGCGCGGCTCTACTGCATGGGGTTTGCGACGGCAGAACTTCACATCACGTGACAAACCCGCACACATTTCCACCCTGTGCATGACAGATACAGGGTTGTACGCAACACACGCACACACACTACACACACACACACACACACACACTCTCTCTCTCTCTCTCTCTCACACACACACACACACACACTTGTACTTGTACTTGCTCACTGCCAAAACTGGTCACGTGGGTCTACCCGGGAGAGGGGAGAGAGACTCAAAAGGAATCTTGGAAAGATGACTCAATTGGCCATTGAACCACCCAACGGCCGACACCCCCTGAAATCCCCAAACTAGGGTGGACTTGAAATGATCCCACTTATGGGCTCACCACACCTCAGTAAGTGGACACACACACACACACACACACACACACACACACACACACACACACACACACACACACGCGCACACACACGAGCGCGCACACACACACACGCACACCCATATGTACATACCTGATCGAGATGGTTGAGAAGCTGCTTTCTACCCTGGGCAGCCTCTGCGAGACATGTCAACGCCTATAACCACATAACAGAAAAACAGGAATAACCAACAATTACATTCTGACCTAGGATGTCATCGATTGGCAAATCTGGATTGAGTGCGAGCAGGCGGTGTGGTCCGAGCAACGCTGGCCCAATCGAACAAAGCAAGGGTGTAGTACGCAAAATGTACGCATATCGTACAAAGATTCTGTGAAAGCTGTCAAAAAACGTCAACGTCCATTTCCACTCCAGCCACTCCCGGTGTGGGGGCCGGTGTGGTCGGATTCCACTCCAAGTACACCTACTCTGGATTCGGCCAAACGCTCACTTGCTCGTGATTCACCCAATCGATCGTGCCCCTAGTTCATTCGCAAAAAACAGTAGATCCTGCGCTACAAACAGCCGTATAGAGGTTGTGCGATTTTGCAGGATCCATTTAAAAGAAGCTCTGACGAGGTGGTGGAGTCGCGGCACAGCGCTGTACTTGCACTAGCGACTCATGCCGCACACTTAGCATCCATTAGAAAATCGGCTGACCCACACCATGAAATTATTCGCATACTGTACGACATGTTAAGTATAACGAGGAAGCAAGTCTAACCTTTTTAACGGGTGACTTTTCTTCGTTATAATAAGTTGTGTTGAGGCTGCAAGTAAAGCCGGCAATGCATCATATGTGTTACAGTCAACTTCGCTTATAACGACACTCGGCGGGGCATCAGAAAAGTGCCGTTATTCACAAAGTGTTGTTATACCCGAAGTCTCATTATATGTATTACAGTTGGATGGGACTTTGCTCTGGGCACGGTAATTCTGGCGTTATTCGCGAATTGTCGTTATATCCGCAGTCGTTATTAGCGAAGTTGACTGTATGTGCGGATATGGCTGAAGACTGCACGCTCGTTAACGTATCTTCCCGTTAACCTATGAAATTCGGATAATCGCTAAATTTGCGACTCGTTCTAATAACATGTCTTACAGCAACCTCTAGAGTCCGCCTACCTTGACGCTGTTCAGTATCGTGTGCTGGTCTTCACTGCTTGCCGTCAGCTTGAGCAGCGCCTCCAGACCATCGGCTTCCAGCACGCAGAACTTGCCCCTTGTCGTCACCACTATTCTGCAGCACACAAACACAAAAGGTTTACAGAAGAAGTCGACTGCTTGACCACTGCTCAGAGTGTTCTATACACGACGTCAAGAGTACACAATGCCCCAGAGTGCGCAACTTCACCAATCAGATCTGGGACGGCGAAATCCGTGTTGCACGTCATGGTGTGACATCATGAGTAGGGGAAGTGTGTCCGTGGTGTACCGTGTCGACGGGATGACGCAAGTCCGACCCAAAAAATGACGTACATCACGGACTACGCCGCCCCACAACCCCATCCCAGTTGCGCACTCTGGGGATTATGGACTCTTGACGACGTGCAAAGCTTCAGTACAAACGGAAATGCCGTGGAAAAAGTCTCTCAACCGAAAAGCTCAAGCGCAATCATAATATGCTCATTCATTCATTCGGACTTTATTTGAAGGATTCTCAAAACTTAAATGGATACTATTACTTGTCCAGGGAGTTTCCTGGAAGGGTGGATGAGAATGAAGGGAAGTAAAAAAGGGGTCAAGGGGAAAAGATCTGGAGACATCTCCTGGTGATTGTGTTTGAGCTTTTCAGTTTTCAGTTGATGGATAGATCTATATAATATTTGTCTCACCGGATTTTTGTTTTCCAAGAGAGAATTTAGACGAAAACGTCCGTTCCTCTGTTTGTCCATCCTTCTCCCTCCCTGCCCCTCCTCCCTTCCATGCCAACATCCCCCCCCCCCCACCCGCAATCTTACTGGTATGTGCTAATTGTTATGTTCTGTCCTCTTGCGGATTAACATACGTTCTCTAACAGTTAGTTGCATCTTTTACATGCACTCACAAGCAACCACAGACCCACCGGTCCAGGTACGTTCTTGATTAGGTAAAGCAACAACAACAAAACAGGCGCGTAGTAGCACCGCTGTTGGAGGTGGTCCAGTTGGAGGGGGTCTGGGGTGTCCCCCGGGACAATTTTGAAACTAGGGTACAAAACCCTGCTTTACGGGCGCTTCTGGGCGAAAAAGGAAAAGTGATCCGGCCGGACCGGCTGCTACTCCCCTGCAACACCAATCAATCCCAGCATGCGCACTACACACTGCTGCGCTCACTGAAGTCCCACCCAGAGTGCAAAGCTGGCGCCCTGGCCTGGACCAGTTCCGATTACATCATTGTATGTGTACATGTGTACGTCCAGCCGCATTCATTCCACTTCCAGGGCGTCAAGGGCCGTGCTAGTAGAGGGCGCCAAATATGCACTTTGGGTCGGATTTCAGTGAGCGCAACTGTACTATGAATCCGTGTAGCAGCATACCTGCCAACATTTGCAAACCAGAGATCGGGCCAAAGCCTGACCGAGGTATGAGAATGTATACACATCTAGCTGAGGCATGAGACAAATGCACTTTTTGGGTGCCTAGTACCACCCGTGAGATATCGGGACGGTCCCGGCCAAATCTGGATGATCGGCAGGTAGGTAGTAGAAATATAACAACTTGCATACACAACACACGGCTTACACCATGAGGGCACCGGCTGCAGCTGTGCGTACATCAGACTCGTTATCACCGAGCAGTTCAACCAGGCGAGGTATCAGCGTGACCTCGTCACATGCTTTCACCTTGCCCTCGGCCGAGTTGCTGCACGCGACAGGGTTAGAGGGAGCATGTCACCGCATGTACACACGTACACAGCACACACGTACACAGCACACACGTACACAGACAGACAGAGAGACAGACAGACACACATACACACACACAGGCCAAGAAAGCACACTTAAATCTCCTCACACCGTAGAAAGATTAAGATACACACTCCCTGAAAGCAAACTCAGTTGTCTGCACACGTTTGTCCAGAAATTAAACCATGAGGTTGGTAATTCCTAAAATGAAGTGCATCAATCTCCTAAAACTTGATGTCTGTTGCATTTGCCTCTGAACTATTCAAATTCCCATAGCGTAGGCGGGAGTTGCTTCCTTTTTAATTCAAGTCTAGCTTCTCACCACAGCTCCATGACTGTTCTTGTGGCCTTGGCCCTCAATGCTGGTAGAGAGCCGCTGCCCATGAGTGAAAGGGCCGTCTGAAGACCACCACAACTTAGCGTCAGCTGGCCATTCACAGGCGAACAGCAGTGCAGGATGTCTAAGATGATTAGCTGGAGAGTGAGAGAGTGAGAGAGAGAGAGAGAGAGAGAGAGAGAGAGAGAGAGAGAGAGAGAGAGAGAGAGAGAGAGAAAGAGCAAGAGAGAGAGAGAGAGAGAGAGAGAGAGAGAGAGAGAGAGAGAGAGAGACACCCACACACACACACAGAGGAGTATGACCCCATTGGGCATACCACTTTTGATCTAGGCCAACAGGATGGTCCACCTATTTCATCCAGAAAAGCAATCATTGAAAAGAGCACCAAAACATGCCCTTTTAGCCGAAAAATCCGATTTTTCCCCCAGTGGACAGTCCCGGACCCCCAGTGGTACTACACACTGTCCGGTGACGCCATTGACAGGGATTGAGAGGGAGAGAAGGCTGCAGATCACCGAAAAGATGGAAAAAGGAACTTCACCGTCACACATCCTGAGAACTACACAGAACCACAAACACACACACAAACACACACACACACACACACACACACACACACACACACACACACACACATGCACATATTCACACACATACACACACACACACGTACCGTAGTTCCGCGCATATAAGCCCATGGGCTACCGTATTTCCCCGTAAGTTAGTTCTCCCCAATGACTTAGTACCCCTATAAAAATACACTTTCCACTGCCCAGGTTATCACCCCGAAAGACAGTTCCCCCCGAAAGATAGTAAGTTCGTACCCGTCCTACATGTACAGACACCGTACAGTACATACATCATATGCACGGACACTAGAGTTGCGCAGGCTTCCCACTGCGTGTCATTTACCCCCGACAAAAAAGTACTCCCCGAAAGATAGTACCACCCCCGAAAGTTAGTACTCATGTGGCTGCTAAGTTCGAAAGTTAGTACGTACTAACTTACGGGGAAATACGGTAATATACGAAATAATGCATTTTCCGGGAAAATATCAGTAATAATGGTTCGTTTTTTAGCCCTGGGCCTATATTCGAATTTTGAAGGCAGCTGGCACGCGAAAAAGTATAAGTCCATGCGCGGCTGCCCGCCTACTGTAGGTACCGGTACTGGTAATGTAGTCTGCACTGACATGCTGTACTACGGTGTTTGGGTCTGTTTATTAGCCCATGGGCCTATAAACGGAGGTGGGCTTATATCCGGATATAGGCCCATGGGCTTATATGCGCGGAACTACGGTACACATCGAGAAAGGGGGTGTGGTGCATGCACTGGCCATACCTGTATATCTTCGGACTCTGCTGCCAAGTTGGTCACAAGGATGGGCACCATGCTGCAGTCAATGATGGCTTGCACGCCTGCAGGTTAGCAGGACCATGCATTCAGACACAGTGAAACTTATAATCCATCCTTTTATATAGGCTACACCTAAAAACTCAGCAACAAAGTAGTCCATGGTTCGTTTGAGAGTCAACAGACAGATTGGCGTTTTCGTGGTGGGAGGTGAGCAAATAAGACACACCGCAAACTGTTCAAATACCGAAATGCCATTCACATCGTGCATGGATAATAGTGTCAAGCATGCCTGCGACACTTGTGATGATCTAGGAACTGTTGGTAACCACTGCTTATATGCAGGGTTGTTAGTGTGTGTGTGCGTGTGTGTGTGTGGTGTGTGTGTGTGTATATGTATGTTTGTATGTGAGTGTGTTTGTGCATGTGTGTTTGTACGTGAGTGTGTGTGCTGTGTACATGCACACACAACTGAACGCGTCCTGCGCGTATACCGAGGTATTTCTAACCTGGGATACTTGAGCACAAGTTGAGCACGGTGTTGTAGGCAGATGTGCGCACCCTGCTCACCGAGTCATCAAACTAGAACAGGCAAAGACATGGGGAGAGGAGAGGAGTTGGTGGGCAGGAGGGGCAAGTAAAGTGGAACTCAGTAGGTTAGGGTCGTCGCAAAAGTGTTCTGTCGTCCCTGAAACGAACATCGTTCATTTCGTACCCGGACACCCTCCCGGGCCTCCCTCTGAAACGAACGCAGCTACTGTGTCGTGTGTTTGTTTGCTCCGTGTGTGTGTGTGGTGGGGGGGGGGGGGGGGGGGGAAGGTTGGGCTGGAGGCTTTGTAGGCCTGTCAGTCTCTGCCGGCTTGGATGCATTTGGGTTTGCCGTACATGTATACAATTTCTTCACGAGATTGTTCTTTGCATGCACGATTCACAGCAATTTGAGAAGAAGAAATTCGACGGGTTCGCGTACCGGGCAGGTCAAGAACAAGGAGTCGTACAACTCCCTGGTCTAGAACCACCTTTCCGCTTCCGTGGGACGCCACCACCCAATTTGAGAAGAAGAAAGAAAATTAATGTCAAATCCAAATGCATCGTATGCATGATGGGCTGATAACACATGTGATCGCGCGCAAATAAATAAATTACAGTTTGCGTCAGACTCGGCTGCAGGTCGAATGCAACCGGCATCTAGGATCAAGGCGCAGATGCAGCTCCTAAGGCGCAACCCACCTTGGTTATCATAATTGCGGCCGTGCCAACCTTCAAAAACTCCTGCCTCGCCGTCACGTGAACTGGAGAAGAACAAGACAAACACACAGAAGGCCGGTCATGAACGAAAGCAAGCCGATTGATTTTATAAAGTTTTGATTTGAAGTTTTTTTTGGTTTGCATTTGAAAATCTTTATTTTACACATGCATTTTCCTGTTTTCTTCTCCAGTGTTGTATTGTATTTTAATCCATTTTGTTAGTTTTTGCCCATAAAAGAACTTTTGAAGCCGATGGTGTTCATGTGAGCGTTTCCATGGCTAGCCCAGAAATTCCGCAGGCGTTTTCCGTCCACACCAAAAAAAACAGCTGTCACACTTGCAATTCCACCCAATACAATTCTGGTCATGTGACCATCTGCTCCGAAAGTACAACCATGTTGCCTTGGCAGGATGTGTTAAAAGTGTAATGGTTGCCATTTTTCAAAAGTGCGAGATTCCATGGGTCAGACTCGGATGGAAAGCCAAGGATAAAATTTAAAATAATAAAAAGAGAGGACCAATGGTGCTTTTTGTCTAGTGTGTTAAGTGCGCACATTTTGCGAGAAGAGCACAACGCGAAAATTAACCATCGTGAAATCAAACTTCAACCGTGCATGTGTATGTGTGGCCATAGTACTCCGCGAACATGTGTCATCGTAAACTCGCTGGTTCTGAGAGATCGCGAGAATTTAGTGATGCGAATATTGGTCTGTTTACATTACCGTATAAGGGCACGTACCCGAGAGCGTTTCAAATATGGCAGTGACCAGCGTTCTGACAGTGTCGTCGCTATGGTTCAGCAGCGAGAATCAGCGCGTCTGGAACTTCTGCACACAACACACGGATCATCATCAATACAATCAGCGCCAGCCGGAAACAGTACCCTACGCACCGGAGTGTAGAGCGATATACTACTAAACGAATACTGTACATTGGATGGTAGGTGGTGCCGCTGTACCATAGGAGAGCGAAAGAGAGAGAGAGAGAGAGAGAGAGAGAGAGAGAGAGAGAGAGAGAGAGAGAGAGAGAGAGAGAGTGAGAGAGAGAGAGAGAGAGAGAGAAAGAGAGAGAGAGAGAGAGAGAGAGAGAGAGAGAGAGAGAGAGAGAGAGAGAGAAGAGAGAGAGAAAGAGAGAGAGAGAGAGAGAGAGAGAGAGAGAGAGAGAGAGAGAGAGAGAGAGAGAAAGAGAGAGCGAGAGAGAGAGAGAGAGAGAGAGAGAGAGAGAGAGAGAGAGAGAGCGAGAGAGAGAGAGAGACAGAGAGAGAGAGAGAGAGAGGCAGAGAGCAAGAGAGAGAGAGAGAGAGAGAGAGAGAGAGAGAGAGAGAGAGAGAGAGAGAGACAGAGAGAGAGAAGAGAGAGAAGCCCTGCGGGTGTAGGGGCTGAGTTCTTCGTGACAGTTCATAGCTCCATACAGCAATTTTCATTTGGGCAGCTCCTAGCCACACAGGACCTGTGGCCGACACAGCACCTCTTACCTGCGTCGATAAGAGCGTTGACGCGCATAATGCTGAAGCTGATGTCGTGCAGAGAGCGAAGGGCTCGCTGCAGTGTCACCAGATCCGGCGGGGACTGCAACTCTTCCCTCTGTGCAGCAGCGAACAGAACAAGCAGATTGCGCATTGCCAAATATGGAAGGTATGAGTAATGCATGTGAGTACACTGGGATCAGCAATGCACTGTTCAACACCCCCCCCCCCCCCCCCCCCGGACGACCATGCCCAGTTGGCTGTGTGGGGTGTTATGTGAGTGCACTGGGATCAGCAATGCACTGTTCAACACCCCCAGACGACCATGCCCAGGTGGCTGTGTGTGGGGTGTTATGTGAGTACGCTGGGATCAGCAATACGCTGTTCAACACCCCAGACGACCATGCCCAGGTGGCTGTGTGTGGGGTGTTATGTGAGTACACTGGGATCAGCAATGCACTGTTCAGCACCCCAGACGACCATGCCCAGGTGGCTGTGTGGGGTGTTATGTGAGTGCACTGGGATCAGCAATGCACTGTTCAACACCCCCAGACGACCATGCCCAGGTGGCTGTGTGTGGGGTGTTATGTGAGTCTGTCCCCGGGGAAAATTGCGGAAAAAAATCGCAAAAAACGCGGGGAAAAACGCGGCATAATATGGCATAATTTGCGGTGAATTTGCGGTAAATGTGCGGTAAATATGCGGTGAATAATATTGATGTGCGGCAATTTTCAGAGAGTATGTAGTGAAATCAATCAGTTACAAGTCTCTGGTGTAAGCACTCGTCATATTTGAGTAAAAAGTCGCCACGATGAGACGTTGCTGACCGAACAGTGCACTGTGTGTACGTGTAGTGCAACAAAAAAGTTCAAAAACGCGGGAAAATCGCGGAAAAAAAGGTCTTTTAAAATATCGCAAAAAACGCGGAAAAAAACGCGGCCGCGGAATCGCAATTTTCCCCGGGGACAGGTGAGTACACTGGGATCAGCAATGCACTGTTCAACACCCCCAGACGACCATGCCCAGGTGGCTGTGTGGGGTGTTATGTGAGTACACTGGGATCAGCAATGCACTGTTCAACACCCCCAGACGACCATGCCCAGGTAGCTGTGTGTGAGGTGTTATGTGAGTACGCTGGGATCAGTAATGCACTGTTCAACACCCCAGACGACCATGCCCAGGTGTGGCTGTGTGGGGTGTTATGTGAGTACACTGGGATCAGCAATGCACTGTTCAACACCCCAGACGACCATGCCCAGGTGGCTGTGTGGGGTGTTATGTGAGTACGCTGGGATCAGTAATGCACTGTTCAACACCCCAGACGACCATGCCCAGGTAGCTGTGTGTGGGGTGTTATGTGAGTACGCTGGGATCAGCAATGCACTGTTCAACACCCCAGACGACCATGCCCAGGTGGCTGTGTGTGGGGTGTTATGTGAGTACACTGGGATCAGCAATGCACTGTTCAACACCCCAGACGACCATGCCCAGGTGGCTGTGTGGGGTATTTATTCTACAAATCACATCATTGCGCAATGGACTTATGCCATAGGAAAGGCCAGGTCGCAACCGGAATGAATGCGTGCACGTAGACATAGCAAGCGTACGTGTGCTCTCCACAACCCATGCGCGTCCTCACATCACCTGTCTAGGACGACCACTCAAGGTACCTTCAAGACGTGGTCTCTGCTATCAGGTGGTCTGTTCTCCAGAGTCGTTTGACTGGAAATACTAGTACAGTCACTTCGCTAATAACGACTGCGGATATAACGACAATTCGCGAATAACGACCGAATTTCCATGCCCAGAGCAAAGTCCCATCTAACTGTATTCATTTAACTTCGGATACAACGACTATCTGAATAGCGACAATTCGCGAATAGCGACATGCTTCTAGTGCCCCGAGGTCATATTCACTGCTTGAATAACGACTTTCTGGGCTTTTGACAGCTATTTCAAGTACCTGTCATGCAGAAGTGCCAGAACCCATGGCGATGGGTAAAGGCGCACATGCAAGAAGATCCAGCCAGGGGGGGGGGGGGGGGGGGGTGCTTTTTAGTTTTTCTATTTATTTATTTATTTTGCTTCTAAATACATGTACGGTACATGCTGTTGGAGTGATCAATACAGCTACTGCGAAAGCCATTATTCTAACGAGGCGCATATATAACGATTTCCCAAAATTGACTAGTTTACGGGTACCAAAGGTAACGATTCTCACTCATTCTCAACGCTCAATAGGACAGTATAATTATGTATCGATTTCTGTATAACGATTTCTATTTTAACGACAGATTTCTCCTCGTTAACTCGTTAGAGTTAGCACTTCGTTATATATAATAAAATATATATACGGCTTTCACAGTACAATCATGTACATGATATAACCTAACACTGGTTAAAAACCAGTATTAGATAAACCTTGTTATAGTTCACGCAATCATAGTGTTAGATTGACAGCATGAAACAAGTGTCATGGTGATGACAAAAAAACTGTTGACAGTAGACGAGCTGAGCGAAGAAAACAAGACGACATCAGGAGTAGTCTCCTAACCCCCTAGCATAATGAGGGTCAGAACCGGGTGCGATACCCATATGCCTATAGTTCAAATGGTCCGCAGGGATCGGGGCTCTGCCAACCGCGGAAGGTGGTAGTAAGGTCACTGTTTCCGAACACAGTGTTCCTCCACCTTGTTTCATGCTGTCAATCTAACAATATGATTGCACATGTACATGTACAGTGCATTTCAAAACTATAGACGCGTAGGGTTTTTGAAATATTTCAAATTTGGCTCGAACCTTTTGAGAATAGTTTTCGGAATATTGCTCAGGATTGCTCCACAATTACTCTCATAATAGTTTCTAAAGGATTGGATAACAGACGCCCAATTTGGAAAAATTTATGCACAAAGTGATCACAGATTTTATGTGGTATAGATGCTGGCATAACGGTTTTTGCCTAGGTACGCGTCTATAGTTTTGAAATGGACTGTAGTTGTATATGATTGTACAGTAATCAGCATACATGAACATGTCCCTGTAGATGGCTCCAAAGCCTAATTTTTCAATCTATTTCCCTTCCATATTGACTTTATAGTTCCTTTCAATTGTAATATAAAAATAAAGTACACGTTGGCATAGAGCATGAAAAGGGCTTCATTCTGACATGCATAATTATCATACTATACAGAATATGGGTTCACATACATTCAAATGGGACTTCGGGTATAAGGACACTTCGCGAATAAGGACGCTTTTCTGATGCCCCGCGAAATGTCGTTATTCGCAAAGTTGACTGTACATCCCCCAGGCTGTCCAACCGTCCTGCTTTGGACCAAAAACATTCGTGTACATTTACATGGAAGACAATTGCCTTTGCATACATGTTTAACATGGGTGCCCTGCTTTGGAATGGTGGCAAGGCTGCACAGACTGTATCCACTGCTCCTGGGTTTTTTTTGTTTTTTTTTGTTTTACTATTGACACAGCCCTACTGGAAAACAGGTGGAGAACAAAAAGAAACGAGGAAAAGGACAAAACATAGGGGATGGTTGCAATGGTCTTCTCGGACAGATGGTCACCTATTATCCGAGTGGCGGTCGTGATTGCTTTCACTGTACACTCAAACGCCTCTTATCCGGACGCCTCAGATACGGGCACGTCTCTCTACCGGGCACCTTCAGCTTGAGGTCCTATAGCACAAATGCTTCGAATTTGGGGGTTTTGAACTTTTTTCCGTATGTGGAAGTGCTTATTTTTCATTGCCAACCTATGTAATTCACACACTTTTATCAATCGGTTCCTTTTGTATCCTGAACATGTGCAATACGTTCAAAATAAACTTCTTCACAAATGATACGATACATAGTAGCTGAGTTATCCTGAGATACGGGCAAATCTGAGATACGGGCAGTGCCCGGTCCCAAGGTGCCCGGATAAGAGACGTCCGAGTGTACCTATATTTTTCAACAAGAGTTTTTTTTAATTTCAGTGCATTTGCATCAACATTCTGCCGGGATGGCATATTTTTTTACACGCAACCGCACTGTCAGTCCTAGAGCTCTCGTGGTGATGGTGGATGTATGTGTGTGTGGTGTGTGTGTGTGTGTGTGTGTGTGTATGTGTGTGTGTGTGTGTACATGCGTGTGCATGTGTGGTGTGTGTGTGTGTACGTGTGTTTGTACGTGTATGTGTGTGTGCGTGTGTGTACGTGTGTGTGTGTGGGTATGTGCGTGCGTGCGTGTGTGTGGGTATGTGCGTGCGTGCGTGTGTGTGTGTACGTGCGTGTGTGTACGTGCGTGTGCATGTGTGTGGTGCGTGTGTGTGCATGGCGCATGGCGTCTGCGAAACACGAGGACTTACCAGCTTGGGTATCTGACGCAGTCCGAACGCCAGTGTAGCTTTTGTAGCGTCGATCTCTGGTGGTAGGTAGGCGGGCGTCCTTGGCGAAGCCATAACGGGGCCACCTACTAATATGTCTGGGTTTTCAAAGGCTGGCTTTTGTTGGAGCGAGAGCACATCGGGCGAAGTGTTTAGGCCGCTGGACTTGCCGTCGTCTTGTTCGTGAACTGGCGTCGGCAACACGATAATACTGGGGTGTGCTTCGTTTTAAATTTGGGTCATTCGAGCAGCAGGCTATTGTTTGGCTAGCGATGCGGGGATTAGCGCCCGGCTGAACCCATGAGGATGGAAACTCTCCGTGCCTAAATGCACAAACGCTATCTTTTCGCGAATTTGCAGGAGGATACTGAGGACACGTGCGCGTACACGTCGCTAGGAAATAGCATGTAGACCAGAACGAATGGTGTCTCGATCATATGAGAGAGTCGATCGGAAATATAATTTTTATTTTGACTCGAGTCAAGATACTGGGACACCTGGATAATGAGAGTGCGAGACTGGAGCTAACCACGCGTGCACGGACCGGTGATCGTGACAGCGAACCAAAAAAATCCGCTGCCAATGAGTAAGGATCCGCTGTCTAGTACAGTAGTAGTACTACTAGATCTACTGTCTGTGTAGTCGACTGTGACTGTAGTTTTCGCGCTCAGTCGGCCTGGTCACCAAGGCCACAGATCTCGCGCGTTTCCAGCGTCAACCTGTTCCCAAGCCAACGCTGTCGTTTCTGCAGGAAGAAAGCACAGTCTAGCCCAGGCCTGTGCCAGTGCAGTGGCTACAGCCTGTCCGTCGCCTAGGGACTACCCATGTACGTCAATGTACAGACAGTCAACTAGTACATGTACTTCGCTAATAATATCGACTGCGGATATAACGACAATACGCGAATAAGGACACATGCACAGAGCTAGAACAAAGTCCCATCCAACTGTAATACAATAATGAGACTTCGCGAATAAGGACACTATTCTGATGCCCCGCCCGCCGAGTGTCGTTATACGCGAAGTTGACTGTACCTGGGCAAGCGTAGCCGACTGTAGTGTAGGGCTCCCTGGCGCCACCCTGGTCGCTCTCACGCTCACGACACACCGCTAAAGCTGTGTTCACAACTGGCGCGTGTACGCGTGAAACCACGTGTTTGTGCGTATTTTTGCTGGCTTTTGGGGCGCCATGCGTACGGAAACGCGCCGAAATGGAACTTCCAACATGTTGGAATTTTCAGCGCGTATCAGGCGCGTATCAGCGTACATGCCAGTCACTTTGACTGGCGGGGTCAAAAAAATTAGTACTTGAAGGTGTCGCACGCGCTAAATACGACTCGGATTGCTGTTTTTTGTGAAAGGCTGAGCGCGCGTTTGGGGGCTCATGAACCGCAAGCGTACCGCGTCCATGCGCCAGTTGCAGCTCGGCGCCACTGTACAGTCACACCTGGCTTAACCGCACAAATCTGTTTTCCACAAAAGAATCCGGATAGGCGAGGGAACCGGATAACCGAACGCTGGTTTCGTTGGATGCATCAGGTAATATGCTGTACATCCGTAACCAGCCATTTTCCTCCGGATGGCGAGGGATCCGGATAAAAGAGGACCGGATAAGCGAGGTCTGACTGTATTCATGTGGTCAAATTTCTCCGGCGTGCACATGTACATCTGGTAGATGCACGTCATGTACCGACAGTGCATGCGTCGGTTCAACACCGCGCGCTTGTATCATTATACGCTGAAGTCTACAGGCAGAAATTAGAGAGGGGGTGGATCAACGATACTTTACGGTACATGTACACTGTACAGTGAGTGCGTTCGATTACACGCTTGAATCGATTCATGAATCGATTCAAGTCCATTCAAGTCGTTCGATTTCATGTCATGAGTCCTGGAATCGATTCGGAATCCATTCACTCTATTCACATGGGGTGATGTGAATAGCGCGAATCGATTCGCGTGCATAATCGAACGCACTCACTGTACGTCGAGTACATGTACAGTGTACGTCGAGTACATGTACAGTGTACGTCAAGTGCACGTACAGTGTACGTCGAGTACATGTAGTTGCCAGTCAAAACGGAGGTTAGGTCAATTCGGGAGCCAAGCATTATCATAGCTGAAAAAATATAATAAAAAATGAATAAACACTATGGCCTGTGGGTCAAGAACCAAACGTACACGTAGCTGAAAGGTATGATACGAATATTTAAAAACAAAAATACTACGGGTCAAGAAACACCCATTTTCCGCTTCCATGGGGTCTCACCTGCCCATATAGTGACAACTGGAAAAAATGGTAAAAAAAAGTTTCTTAGGCGTGAGAGGGGCTTGAGGGTGGATACAAATATTGACATAAGTCATTCGGAGAAAACAAGAAACAGAGATTGAAGAAGTGGAACCTGAGCAGAAGGTCCATGTAATGGAGAATGTTAGGCTGATAAAAAAAAATAACGTGTTCTACGGGCAGAGGCATCAACAGCTATTGACCGCTGAAACAACAGTTAGAGGGGGGGGGGGGGGGGGGTGCTGACACGCACACACACACACACACACTACACACACGCGCGCACGCACACACTACACACAATACACACACACGCACATACGCGCGCACACACACACACACATACACACACACACTACATAGACACTACACACGCACACACACACACACGCACACACACACACACACACACACACACACTACATAGACACTACACACGCACACACACACACACACGCACACACACACACACAGATCGACAGAGGGCGAGGAACTGAAAGAGAAGCAAACTTTGAATTGTTGGTAATGAGGGGTACTAGACAGCAGGGGCATGAGACAGGCTGCAATCAACAGTTGGCAGCTACATCATCGATATCTATTTGAACACTACCCATTGGACTAGAGATGAGGAGAATACTAGGGCTGGGCGAGACAAGCAGATCTGGACACTGAACAGCTTGATGGTGCAAGTCCGATTGTTCAGGTTCAGTTGGAGTTTGATTGTGCTGTGATGGAGGTTGATTAGGTCGTGAGGGAGGATGATTAGGTCGCGGTGGAGGTTGGCGCGATGGAGGTTGAGCGGGTCGCGGTGGAGATTGATTAGGTCGAGCTGGGGCTGGCCGTGTTGGCTGAGCTGGGGCCGGCTGGGGCTGAGATGGTGGTTGGTCAAGACCGAATTGTCTCTTGCAGTAATGGACAACAGTGTTTGCAGTGTTTACCAGAGACTCGATAACCAACTCGGCAGGTCCTGTTACTTGTCTAGGCTCCGCCTTGCCAGCCAAATCTGCATTGGACGCTGCAGTTTGATTAGCCACGTCATCAGATGTTACGCTAGCACGCTGTATGTAGCTTGAAACGCTGAGAAAGGGATGCGAAGAAAAGCGGCGCAGGGAAGACTGAATACCGGCGACATCCCCTCCGGCTTTGCGCTTAAGAACGACAGTGGCAATGGCGGCGCAGAGCAGCATTCCCAGCAAGAGCCCAATGACGAGACCAGCAACGCCGCCGCCTGACAAGCCGCCGGCGCCCGACACGGGACCGTTGTTGACGTTGAAGTGCTCGCAGCGTGCGCCAGACCAGCCGGGGTTGCAGCGACAGCCGTTCCCGGGAGTGCACACTCTGTGGGGAGCTGAACCTCTCACTGGTGTGGACGTATCCTCAGACTTTGTCGGTGTGGTGACGGCATTAGGAATGGTAGGTTTCTTGACGGCATTAGGAATGGTAGGTTTCTTGACGGAGTGCTCGCAGTTTGTGCCGTACCGGCCCAGGTCACAGCGGCACACGTTCTCTGACGTGCATGCGCCGTGTCCCGAGCAGCCGGCGCCGTTGGCCTGCGGGCACTGCAAGAGGTTGGCGCGCAACGCCGACGCGTTCACACACGACCTGTTCCAGCAGAGAAGATCGGGCCCGCACGGGCTACCGTCGTCAACGTAGTATAGATCAATGCCGTCAAGGCGTGGTGGGACGTAACGATTGTGGCACGTGCGATTGTCCGTAGGATAAAGACACAAAAGAACTCCGCAGCCAGCATCCTTTGGCTTGCAGGCAGCAAACGTGTACCTCTCTACACCGGTACCCTCACCTTCAAACATACGGCAATGGCCGTAATGGAAGCCATGGGTATTCAGCGTGTTGCAATCGTCTGATGGGAACGTAGTGGCGTTCACGACGGCCTTGCACTTGCGCTCTGCACTCCTGCAGAAACCCTCGTGGCATGTGCCAGGTGCTTCGGCTGCCACGCACGGCAATCCAGACTGCCTCACGTCGTCTCTGGGACACGTGACATTCGCGCCGTCGCAGAAGTCGGGCAGGTCGCAGAATTCGACCGCCGCTCGGCAGACAGTGCCGACCTTCAGCAGAGTGCAGTTGCCGTCGCAGCAGGCGTGGGCCGCGCTGCACTGGGCGAACGGCTTGAAACGACACGTTCCGGCGTCGCAGCAGTGATCCTTGCAGTACTCCTGTGGCCCGCAGTCGCAGTCCTCGTCTCTCTCCACGACGCCGTTGCCACACACGGGTCTCGACAGCGCCGCCTCCGGCTTGTTCAGCAGGCAATTGAGCCGGCCCTGGAAGCGCAGCGATTGAAGTCTCGCCTTCGTGCAGTCGCTCCACTCACCACCACCATGCCACTTCATGATCGCATTGTACTTGCACGCTTCCCCATCGCACCTACAGGTAGACTCTACATGTTCAAAACCAATGTTGTGCCCAATTTCATGAACAAACACATTTGGGAGGATGCCCTGAGTAGGGTATTGGAGTTTTACTGCCCCAACTGCCCGCCAGCGCTTATGGCACATTGAAGAAAGGGTCGCGGTGCCAACAGATCCCTTCAATTCGGCGGTGAACAAATGAACAGCATCGTAATGTGCAAGATGCTGTAATATGTTCTTGTCCAAGGCCTCTACAGGCTTCAACGTGTTATAGCCCGTTGGATCCTTACGCAAGAAGAGAGAGGCAATGGGCGCTTTGAATACGAACGCAGTGGCCAGGACAAGGCGGACATTGATTTTCTGGAAATACCAATCGGCGTGGCTTACGGTTATCAGTATCTCGTGCACCAGCTTGTCGGTGTCGGTGATATTAAGACCACCCCGCGGCTTGGTGAATGAGTAGTCTGAGACCACAGCAATCTCCACATACAGTGGCGGCTCTCGTGCTCCTCCGGTACCGCCATTTCTCTTCCCACGCTTGACTGCTGAAGCTGAACCAGCCAGCCCCCCGTCTTCGTCGTGAAAATCCCACCGCCGCTTCTCGCCTGTAGTTGGTTTGCCGGTGTTCTTTGCAGCCGATTCATTCCGCCGGTGCAGTGTTGCACACCCGCCTTCGGTCAATGGGTCTTCTCTGCTCGTCTTGTGTGCGGGTTCTTTGAAGACGGCGTGCGGATAAGTACCGGGCTTAGTTGTCTGGCTGACCAGCGGCTCGATCATATATCTCCCCGAGTATGCTTTACCCTGCTCATTATTGCTGCTGCTGCTGCTACTGCTAGCTGTGGCTGGATCCTCTTCTTCACCGCCCGTATACTGATCAAAGCCAAATGATCCGCTCAAGCCGTTGCATGTGCTCATAACGGCGTATGTAGATGTCACAGCAGCGCCGCTGCTCTCTCCACCGACACCGGCACTAGTGCGCTGCTGCTGTCGCTCGTGTTCGTGAACGGTCGACTGAGCATGACCGATGTCCTCCAAGCCTCGCACTGTACCATGATAATAGCAATTGACTGCTCCGTGAGTAATAAGGGGACGCTCATCGACGGCTGAATTGAACGTGAAGTATCTAAAGGAGGCAGGGATTAGCTCAGCGTTCTGCTTCAAGTCTAGCGTCACCGTCTTTCCAAACGCGCGTATTTGGAAGCTACTGGTTGGCGGATGGTGGACATGCTCACTGCTAGACTGATCATCATGTTGTCCCTGTGCTGTGGCATCTCGCCTGCGGCGACGATTGCTGGCATGCTCAACGGCACGGAGGTGCTGTGCCATGTCCACATGCACTACTTCGTACTCATCCGTCATCTTGCTGATGCGTTCTCTAGCCTCCTCACTTATTTCAGCATGAGTGCTGCTGGTGTTGCTAGATGCAGTTTGGGACGTACCCTCTGCTCCAGATGTCTGAGACATCTGCTCTGCTCCAGATGTTCGAGAGGTGTCCTCTGCTCCAGATGTTTGAGGCGTGTGCTCTGCTCCAGAGGTGGCAACTACATATTGTACACTTGCCTTATGCGGAACTTTTTTGCTGTTATGATTTCTATGGCTAGTACTAGTGCTGCTGCTGCTGCTGGCAGTGCTGCTGGCAGTGCTGCTATCCGCATGGACATGAACACAGCTCTGAGTAAGCAGGAGCATTGTGAGCACGATGATGATGATTCCAAGATGCAGCGCGAGGCTCGAAAAGGGCTTTGGCAGCCGACGGGGTGCTGCCGCCATTGCCAACCCGAACCGTGGCTGGGTCTGTACTTCAGAGTAACAAAGTTACATAGACTGCAGGGACCTCAGTGAACTATTTTTACTTTGAAGCAAAAGCAAAACTGCCAACTCAACATCCGTAGTCAAACTGGCTGTGATTGCCAAACGACCAAGCTAAACTCACCAGTTGGAGGTAGATGTCTACTGGTCTACCCAGGGACCAGGCCAGGGCCCAGGGGGTCGTCAAATATTTGACGACTCCCTGATGTCTACATGTGAAGGTGACATGTGCACGTACAGCGTTGTACATGTGGGCGCCTTCCTTTCTTTCGCATTTTCAACGTTCGAGTTCATCGATCATCATGCATGCACGGTTTCTTTGAGAAAGCAAGCAGTTTTCTGCTCGGTGGACTTTGTACCTAATGGACTTTGTACTCCAGACTCAGTGGACTTTGTACTCAATGGACTTTGATCATGACGATTTTCATTTTCTGCGCGGAAACCATACATGCAGGGAAAGATGACGACGCCGGTCAGTAAATTGTTGGCCGATTTGTTGCCTACTTCGAGGCCAGTCGGTGAAATGAGGGCTTCCTTCTTCAAGAAATATGTTGCCAGTCCTTAGTCGGGTGCCACTCGTCTTCTAAACATCGTACTTGATGCAAACAACGAAGTTGGATGGACGGGAGGCGAGGAATTTATCGTTTCCGATTTTCACCCCGTTCTGGGCTGCCATTACCTTGCAGCTGGCAGCACCACGACGGAATTTTTTGCACAAGGGACACTAGGTGAATTCAACTCCTCAGAGATATCGCCATGACAGGGTAAGGTTATTTTAAATAGCCCAGGAATTGTGTACAAACCAACGGCACGAAATTATGGAAATTTTTATTTTTTATTTTTTCGCAATATTGTTGAAAAAATGTAGCGATCTTTGTATTGTGGCATCGTGGCGGTGTATTTCGTAACTATACTGCATGACAATATTACTTATGAGAAATGGCAGCGATTGCAGCGATTGTGAACAATGTACAATCAACAGCATTGGCAAAAATGATGGAGCTGTATGGAACTTTGGTACATGATTTGCCTGTATATTGGTATTTGAACACAATGCATGAAGCAGAAGAGCATAATAATGTTGACTTGTCAATTTATAGTTAAGACGTGAATATGAAACCCATGACCAATGCCAATAGCCCAATGATGAAGGGTCTGCGCAATTACATTGTGTGTGACATTGTATACAAAAATTCCCTGTGGCATAATCATGTACTCCATGCATACACATGCTTGAGCGGTGATATTTGTTACTGTACATGATAAAAATCTAGTGGTGCCATGCTCCTTGGTATGTGTGCCACTGTGTGTGTTTTTATGTGTGTGTGTGTATGTGCTATCATCTCCGGATGGGCATATTGTATTGTATTGTGTACCGTATACTCTCTATTACAAGCGCCGTGCTTATATATTTTCAACACCCCTCTACCCTGTGCTTATATTGGAGACCGCGCTTATATTGGAGACCGTGCTTTTATTTTTTCAACCAATGCATCCATACAGAGCAAGAAGAAATACATGCTAGAGATCATGCATGCAGCATTGATTTCCACCAAGACCATGCTAATAATAGAGACTGTGCTTATAATGTTTCAAACGGTGCTCACAGTGTGCTAGTATTAGAGACTGTGCTAGTAATGGAGACCTGTGCTTGTAATAGAGAATATACGGTATGTGTGTGTGTGTGTGTGTGTGTGTGTGTACCTCTCGATTATGGTCGCACACGTCTTTCTTCTCTTTGATTCTCAGGCACGTGCGCCGGTGCCCTTCAAGGGAGGGGGGGTTCCGGGGATCCTCCCCCAGGAAATTTTTCAAAAAATGAAGCAAAATCCTGCATTTTGAGCGAAAAAAGGGGGGTTCCGGGCACCCAGGAACCCATACGGCGCACGCGCCTGATTCTCCTGGGTGGTTACCAACAGCCAGTGTATGCCGGAGTATGTGGTGTATATGGTGTGGTGTGTGTGTAGAAAAAATGAAAAAATGAAAAATAGGGATTCACTGGCCAGAAAAAAGTCACTTCTATCAGCTGTGTGGTGGATACCAGGCTAAAAATAGTGACGGTCAATTCATCAACCTTGCAAGCTGTTGAATGGTGTAATCCCAGCACAAGTTGCTAGATCTAACATAGCTGTTGGCTATCATCGCTTCCGCAATGGGCAGGTCTGAGGTCTGAGGTGTGTGCACACTGCACTCTCTGTTTATTGATGCCTATTATATCACCATGGTCAACAAGGTCAAACGCTTCGAGCTGCCAACAGTGGATTGCCTCATTTCTCTCAATGGGGTGGTCCTAGCTTGAAGTGATGTATGATGTTTGCTTACATTTGAAAGCCATCTGCTGGAAGGCAGTCAAATGGGTTTTTTGTCAAACACAACCCTACCAATGAAATGAAGGCAACGAGGCAGGAGAGCAGAGACAACGAATGGTAGAGTCACGAGGTGGCTGTGCCGGTGGGGAACATCCAGCTCAACAAGGTGTTCTTGCAAGTTTGATCAGTACACCACCCTGGTCCGTATCCTCAATATCAGTGAATCTTACAGATTGTTGGCTGCTACCTTGACTCGTGATGCCTACGATTGGATACAAGCTGCTCGAAGTATGTTTCTAATAAGAGTACAATCATGTATCTTGAACTTAGCATGAGAAGCATCCACTTCGTTGATAACAGCAGAACCTTTGCATGACTGTCATAACACTCTCCTTATTGCAATATTTAGCCAATGCTACATTTGTTGTAGTAGCTACCACACCGCTACAAGTATGCATTCATGTCCTGGCTGGCTTGTGAAGTTGTGTAAACTTGTGAATGCAATCATGTGACGCTTCGTGTACACATGCTCCCATACTTTAGTGCATGTGCGTGTGTTCAGGTATGGGTGTGTATGTTCGTGCACCTACATGCATGTGTGCGTTTACATGTACAATCAGTCATGCAGACGTGTGTGGGTCTGTTTAAAACCGCATGAACACGTGTCAATTCCCGTGTGCATGTATGTACGGGTGTGTGGGTAAGCATATTCTTTGCTCTATGCGTCCACCGTGCATGAAGGTATGGGCATGTGTGTGTTGTAGCTTATGGCATGGCGGTTGTGCTGTAAACAGTAGCACCTTATTCTGGTCATCCGCAGATGACATTTTTTCACTTCAATTCTGCATTGGCTCAGGTGCTGTGTTTGTAGTGTCATCCTCTCTCGGACTCTGCGTGAATTATTTATATTTCTTTCCCACCTGAGTACTGTATTTGGCTTGATATTTACTATTGTACACACAAGTATATAGCCACATGCATTGATCTGCGAGGGTTTGTGTTTGGAGCTCCAACAACCTGTTGGGATTCGTGTTGTTTGTAAATTCGTGGTCTACGGATACAATGGTCTGGCTGGTACATCGCAGAATACTAGGACCCCTTGAACGATTCTGTCTGTCGATCCTAAGTCCACCGACACGTGTGCGTCAAAATGTGTCAAAAATACAGTGTTGACGAAACGGTTGGTATCACCGCTGTCGGATTTTTTGCACAAGCCAAAATTGGAGGATGCACTGTTGGCTAATATCTCTTTCTGATTAAATAAGCAGGAAATAGCGAAACCCTTGTATAAATCAACGGCACAATTATAGCATGTTCAACCATAAAAAATAAAAATAAAAATATCAGCAACATAAAGAAAATGCAAGCGACGAGCGAGAACTCAACTTCTCGTTATTTGTTATCGCCACGGACAAAACTTAGGGCAGAGAACAACTATTAAGTTGGATTCCGACAATGATCTGGGACGAAGAACTCACGGGAGACGTAAACCAAAGGACGACGAAGGTGACGCAATTCAGTATTCGTCTCGCGATATCTTGAGAAAACTGTAAAATCTGGCAAATTTGAAAAATTAAAAAGTGCAACTTTTAGACGACTTTCTCTGAACTGGCGCAACGTGTGCGCTGCCAGAGCGCTGTGGGACCGGATGTCCTTTAATTCCGGATGATGTGCACGGCCAGTTTCCTGCGACATGGAGAAGTCAACGAAAAGAAGTACATGTATGGTATTCTATTAGTGACAATAGATACAGTTCATTTCAAAACTATAGACGCGTACCTAGGCAAAAACCGTTATGCCAGAATCTATACCAAATAAAATCTGTGATCACTTTGTGCATAAATTTTTCCAAATTGGGCGTCTGTTATCCAATCGTTTAGAAACTCGAAAAGTTCCAGCCAAATTTGAAATAATTATTTCAAAAACCCTACGCGTCTATAGGTTTGAAATGGACTGTAGACTGCTCCTCCTCTACTGTGAAGGAGAAAAAATCATGGAACGGCAGTTAAGAAAGGGAACACGGTGCAATAGAAGGAGTGTATGCCTACTATGGGTTATGTAAAGAGTTCATGTACTCAGTCTTGGTTATGTTGATCTACTGTATGACCTACTTAACACCCATCTGCATGCACACCACCGTGACAGCATTGAGTTGTGGGGATACTGGGAGTGGTTCGCCAATCGCTGTTTGCCAGGCTCGCAGTATTATTTTCACTGGCAGCCGGTGTGAGTGACCCTGGCCGCATATTGTCAGCCATGCAACTCTCAGCAGGAAACAGACTGTAAAGTGTGCGGTGTGGCGCATGTGCTTTCTGTGTTTACTTCATTTATACAGTAAGATCAAACCTAAGAACTTACGTTTTTGAATTCCACTTTGAATATAGTGTGCATAGCTCGCGCATCTCGAAGACCATTTTCAACCATTGTAAAGATACGCCCGATTACTGCGGGGCTCAGCTCACCGGCAAGTTTTCCTGTTTCTGTAGTTACGTCATGACCAGTAGGGCACTCAGCTGTGGGATAGCTAACGATGAACCTAGTAGTAGGGTGCAGGAAAAAAACACATTACATCATACATTAAAAATCCGGTTTGCATCAGCTGTGGATTTTTCAACTCCCATCCTCCCTGCAGAGAAACGAACGGAAATTTGGTATAATTAGTCTGATGTGATATCGAGTCGCGTGATATTGCAAGATAACACACAAAATGTCACACATTGAGTGCCAGACTGATTAGATAACATTCATATCACTTATGTAACATGGACAAATTTGGGCACAAGTTATGCGATCGAGTCTACCAACTAAGCCAGATTTTGAACAGTCAGACGTGCACAATCTAGCACAAAACTGACAAGGAGCATGGAGACATTCCACGGCATGAAAGTGCCTTGTGCCCACATTTTTCCATGTTACATTTTTTTTCTTGGCTCACCATCTGAGTTCCTATCTCTTATGTGTTGATTTATAGTATTCTTGCATTGTGTTCAGTTTATCATCATAATAATAAGGTCGAGCATTGAAACGATTGTTTTCAGAATCAGAATATTCTTTGAAATGCTGATAAGTAGTTGATAGGTGTGGATAACACAAGTGGTTATTTGTAGAGGTTATTCTTCTGGCAACTTTTTGTTTTGCCATTTGTTTGGATAATGAACCTACCGTTCGCACAGACTGAGCTCACACAGCTTCTCAGCTTCAAGAGCAGTCGCAACTGACTTCCTAAACTTCTCGAGCTGGTCAGCCTTTGCCTTTTTGAACGCATTCGGCGATAGACTGGTTGCATCCATCGAAAACTCCGGTAACCGCAATACGCAACGTACCATGCAAGATGCCTGGCAAACTTTTATTCGTGTACCTGCAATTACAGGACAAAGAAGCATGTTGACATATTCATTACAGAAAGAATAGACACACAGTTAATTACAATATCAATAACAATATCAACCCAAGATGTAAAATGATTGTCACTAACGTCCAGTTTTTAGAGTGTAAGATGTGGAAGTAAAGGAAAATTAATAGCACTCTCCAGACTTATGACACCATTATCTATATCGCAACTGGAAACATGTTTGCCAGGAACGTTGTTGTTGTAGGGGAAAAGGAAAGAATTCCCTATTCCCCTAGGCACTTCCATGAAAAGTTATGAGTTGAGTAGGGTTAAAATTAACTTCCCCTTGAAAGCAGTCTTCAGTGCTTCTCACCTTGCACTTTCATCCTCTTCTTCTTCAAGTAGTTCCAGCCACTGCTGCCCCCGTTGCATACTAATGATCGACATTTACTAAAGGGTCCTGGGTGGACGACTCTTCTGACTTGCATTTGTGGCATCTGAGATGTTCAGAATAATAATAGAACACACAATCGTCGCGGCTTCATGACATGGCCGCAGTATACCCTATTCAGCACAAGTAGGGTACACTACAGTAGGTAGACTAGTGACCCCATCATACTTTTAGTATGTTAGGGGCCGTCCAAGGTTACCAATAATATTATCAGAACGAAAATATTTCGTTTGGGGGTGGGTGGGTTTCATGGAGTTTCGTTTTGAAAATAATTATTGAATGCAGATGGAGAATGCCTAGTTACTTTTGGTTGTCGAAAATTGACATCAATATTTTATTGGAATTCGTTTTACCTGCAGAAAAGGTGGGTGGGTGGGTGGGGGCTGAAAAATACTAAAGCTTTTCGTTTTGTAAAAACAATCGGTAACCCCGGACGGTCCCTTATCAATGACGCCTTTTTATTATGACGGGGATTGAATGACTGTGTTCAAGACCTTGATGATCATCACAGAGGCAAACGTCCTAGTTATCAGTACCCTGCTACGACTCGATAGGAAATAAAAATTGCATGCCCTCAGGTGTGGCAAAATATGATAGGTGTAGAAACATCTAGACTGGTATACTTGTTGTACTGCCTTTCTCTACCTGCTCCCAGTCCCGTGCCATCTCCACACTTATGCAAAGGGAAGACGATACCTACATTTAGAAGACTATATTTTGAAGACGACGGAAAACACAATTGGACATGACGAACTCAAGACGAAGACTGCTTTTCACACCACAGCAACACGCGCATGCACCAACATGACGTACACACGACGTACCGCGACAAAATAACGATTTTCAATTCCCAATAGTATTATTCTCCCCCAGCAATTCATGTCATTACCTCTCCTTCCCGAACTGGCATTCCTAAACGCGGAAACCACAACACGAATGAAAGGAACTCCATCGAATGGTATAGGGGCATTGCTCGTGGTTTGCTCTTGGCTCCAGTGAAAAGCTTTCGGGCGAGACACGGCATCCTTCAATATATCTTCCACACTGCAGATTACAGTTTCACAGCACAGATACTATTACTCAGTGTACATTTTACCAGATATAGCACACCACGTACATAATATAATAACACATGGTAAGGAGGGCATGATGGCTGATTTATGCCCTAGTGTCTGATTTATGCCCTCGGTCGTGCACCGTAGCCCAAGGGCTAGCGTTAACTTACCTGTGTGAAAAAGCCCGGGTTTTACGGTAGTTACAATGAAGTTGCTTCGAGGTAGGAGGACTTTCAATACTACAATAGCTGTTCCAATGCCTCCTGTCCATCGACACATGCGCGCACATGCGCATACTCTCATCAGATTAGATCAGAAAAGTCACTGAAAAGGTTTGTCCCTTCTTGAGGCCCAGGGCCCAGGGGCCGGGGATGATCGGGTTTGAATTATTTTGTTTGAGAAGAAGACTGCGTCGAATACTTCACCCTTGAGTGCCGAGTTGTGGTGATATTGGGCCCAGCTCGAGGAACTCGTGCCGCCCACCGTCCGATTTCTTTGTTGAAAGTCGAGTGTGATGCAGCGTTGTAGACGGAGACGTTGCAAATCTGAGCCACACTTGCGGTGAGCGACTGAATTATGAAATTGGAGTTACTGAAAAATGCCCAGATTCGACGAGGACGATGACGACGAATGGGTGGACCATGATGAGGCACGCGACCACAATGACGGTGACACTGTGTGACTCGGCACGCCGGGCTCCAACTGGAGGACGATTCGATGCTCCTTTCCTATAGTAAGCGCTCCGCGGGCGATCCGGGATCCGTGATCTACCTCTCGCACAAGATCAGCCCGGAGTTCAACTAATTTGAGATTGAAATCATCAACTGGGGTCACTCGGCACGCCGGGCTCCAACTGGAGGACGATTCGATGCTTCTTTCCTATCGTAAGCGCTTCGCGGGCGATCCGGGATCCGTGATCTATCTCTCGCACAAGAGCAGTTGGAGCACGATTCGATGCTCCTTTCCTATAGTAAGCGCTTCGCCCGGAGTTCAACTAATTTGAGATTGAAATCATCAACTGGGGTTAACCGGTTAACGGTTGTTACATGTCACATGATCATGCTCCTTGGGCAAAATAAACAGTGAATAAATTTTTCCCAACATGCGCATGCGCGCACATGCAACTCTCATCATGACATCATCAGATCAGATCAGAAGGTCAAAAGGGTTTGTCCCTTCTTGACTTGAGGCCCGGGGCCCAGGCCATGGATGATCGGGTTTGAATAATTTTTGTTCGAGAAGAAGACTGCGTCGAATACTTCACCCTTGAGTGCTGAGTTGTGGTGATATTGGGCGCAGCTCGAGGGACTCGTCCCGCCCGCGTCCGATTTCTTTGCTGAAAGTCGAGTGTGATGCAGCGTTGTAGACGGAGACGTTGCAAGTCTGAGCCACGCTCGCAGTGAGCGACTGAATTATGAAATTGGAGTTACTGAAAAATGCTCAGATTCGACGAAGACGATGACGACGAATGGGTGGACCGTGATGAGGCACGCGACCACAATGACGGTGACACTCGGCACGCCGGGCTCCAACTGGAGGACGATTCGATGCTCCTTTCCTATAGTAAGCGCTCCGCGGGCGATCCGGGATCCGTGATCTACCTGTCGCACAAGATCAGCCCGGAGTTCAACTACTTTGAGATTGAAATCATCAGCTGGGGTATGGAGGGGCGTATTGGACTAGGTCTCGCCCACAGTGACTACCCGCTGGGCAACATGCCCGGATGGCATGCGGGCAGCATCGGCTATCACGCGGACGACGGATGCCTGTTTCATGAGAACGGGCACGGCTGCCAGTTTGGGCCAGAGTGCGCGGTGGGCGACCGTATGGGCTGCGGCGTGGAATTCTCCGGCGCCGGCGGTGATGATGGTGGTAGCGGTGGTGGCTGCGGAGCTGGCCAGGATGAAAAGAGTGATAACGACTCCGACTCCGACGGCGATGGCTGGTACGGCAAAAAGAAGAGATGCGGTTCTCCTGTTTCCGTGTACTTCACGCGCAATGGCGAGCGCGTGGGCCGCACCGTGACCATGCAGCAGCGCAGCAACGGCGGTCTGTACCCGATGGTAGCATTGGACAGCGAAGGAGAACGGGTGCGTGTCGATCTCGAAGTGGCCTCGGCGAATCCGGACGCACGCGACGTCAATATGCGTATCATCAAGAGCATTCCCTTGGCGGCGGCATCGGCTCAGGCAGGATTGCCTGAAGACGTGCCCAACTGGAATCGCCTTTACAATGTTGAACAAGTGGGCAACTGTCTTCACTATACATCCTTGAGCAATTCGGGCCTTGCGCAGTGCGAACAGCCCATGAGTCTTCGCCATCCCTATTTTGAACTGGAGATCGTCAATAGCGGCGAGAATGGCCATGTTGCCATCGGAGTGGCACACTCCCAGTACCGGTTTGGCCGGCAGTTCTGTAAGTCTGTGTGTGTGACGGTGTGTGTGTGTGTGTGTGACGGTGTGTGTGTGTGTGTGTGTGTGTGTGTGCGTGTGTGTGTGTGTGTGTGTGCGTGTGTGTGTGTGTGTGTAAGTGTGTGTGACGGTGTGTGTGTGTGTGTGTGTAAGTGTGTGTGACGGTGTGTGTGTGTGTGTATGTGTGTGTGTGTGTGTGTGTGTTAGTGTGCGTTTGCATCTTTTCTCTCAAACCAATGATCCTGGATTATCGGTAGCTTACAGTATTACGAAATTAGTGGCCACATGCCACATACTGCTCTTTTCTCTCCGAAACTCAACACTTGCAAGCCAGATATGAAAGAAAGAAAAAATCATCTGGCATGTGGCCACTAATTTCCTAACACTTTGAAATTCTCTGTGAAGTCCAAATTTGAAATTACAGTATTACATCGTTGTTTTCCCCGAAAAGCAAAGCACCCCTTGAGTCCTGGGTGGATTGTCTCTTGCTGTTTAGACCCATAGTACGCATTCTGTGACTGTGACCGTCTCTTCAGGCAGGAAGAAGTCCAGTTTGCTGTTTCATTGGAATGATGGCAAACTGTTCAACGGACAGGGTGATGGCGAGCCATTCGGGTGTGCTAGCAAGCAAGGAGACCGATTGGGTTGTGGCATCCACTTTCGTCCCAGCGAGAAGGTGAGCCCGGCGTGCTCTGTGTGTTGCGTTGGGTGTCTGAGTGCGAGCATTTGTGCACATGTGTGTGCCTTTGTATGTGTGTGTGTGTGTGTGTATGTGTGTGTGTGTGTTGTGTTGGGTGTCTGAGTGCGAGCGTTTGTCCATGTGTGTATGTGCCTGAGTGCGCGTGTCTGTGTGTAAGTTTGCAGGTGTCTTTGTGTGGGAGTCAGGTTGGGGACGTTACATCAAGAGCAAGGTTGGGCGGTGTTGTGAGCAGGCTTTCATTTCAAATTATCCTATCATTTCCTTTATGTTTGCTATGAATTTTTGTTCTCTCTCTCCATTTTCTTTCAGGGAATCCTTGGGAGTTGGGATCCACCAAGCTCTTCTGATGACGACAAGGATGAGAACAGTGGCGACTCTAATGGCGTGAGCTCATCGTCGGAGGATGAGAACACAGAGAATCGCCGTGTGTACGTGTACTTCATGTGCAATGGTGAGGAGGTCGGCGGCTTCGAACGGGTCGTGCCCGCAGGAGGCTACTTCCCCACAGTCGTTTTGATGAGCTCCGGCGAGGTTGTAAAGACGTTTGTTAGGGCGATTACCGGTTAATCGCACGTGCGTGCGTGTGTGTGTGTGTGTGTGTGTGTGTAACATTCTTTCTGGCAAAGAAATGAGGCTTTGAGCGAATACGGACCATGCCACTGCCAGCTTCGCAGTAGGGAGTACAGTAGGTATTGGTTATAGCGTGGGTGTTTGATAAACGACTTTCTATTCTTATTTCCGATATTTCTTACACACGATAAATCAAGTGTGGCATATCATATGCATGTGCACAGGGGCAGGAAGATCATCGTACATGCAACGTAGTGCTACTGTGCATGTGGCTGGTCATAGTCCCATTGGCTTACCATGTGGCTATCCAACATGAGTTACATGACCACAACAGTTGAGCCTGCAGCACTATGACGCAACGCGAGTCAGATCAGAACTGCATTGGACAGATGTTATTACGGAGGATTAGCAAGACGAAATTCACGTTCGCGTTCGCAAACATTTTTCAGTTCGCGAACTGGATTGCGAACTTTCGCATTTTTAGTTCGGAAAAGTAGTCGGGACACGAATCGTGCGATTCGTGTCAGGGCAATCATAAATTTACCACGCTGTACTGCCTACGTCGTGTCAACATCATGCATGTGCGAATTCTGTTTGCTAATCCTTCTCATAACGCGAATTCCGTCACTGAGTTCGACTTTCTTTGGAGAGCGAACGCGAACGCGAATTTCGTCTTGCTAATCCTGCGTATTACTACAGGCGATACACTTTGTACTAATCCGGCATGTTTTGGCAAATTGCTACACAAAGTCCATTCTCAGGACCGATATAATTATTCTACTATGCGATAAATTGCTTGTAAGAATAAAAGTGCACTTGAAACCTGTGTCATGATTATGAAAACATGAGAGTTCATTCTTGTAGGCGGTATATTCTTTTACAAAACCACGCTATAACCGATACGCACTGTACACTTTACTTCGAACATTCTCACTGCTCCCTGCTTGCAGCCCATTCATCCCAAAAAAGGCACCCTACTGTTTTGGTGTGTTGTGGTACATGTAGTGTTGGCAACTGAAATCCGACCTCCTGATTTCGTGCTAGAGTGCAGCACTGATTCTAGCCAACTCTACAGTGCTGGCAACTGAAATCCGACCCCCTGCGGTGCGCTAGCCGCGTTAGCGATTCGTACGAGATGCTAGGGGGGGGGGTCGGATTTCAGTTGCCAGCACTGTATTTCTTTGTGTCACCACTGACAAATCCCGTGCTGGGTCTTTTTTTAGCTTTGCAATGTGAGTGCACCGCTCCAGTCCAGGGGTCGGATTTTTAGTTGCGAGGACTTTAGGTACACCGAGATGTAGCTGTACATACTGCATTGCGTGACCCATGCACTTCTTCATTGCCACTTTCGAGGTCGGAAGAAGTCCAAGGAAAGGGAATTAGAAATTCGGCCAGGTTTTACAGGATCAGGACAGGTATACATGTACCAATGCTAAATGAATGGCGAGCCATGTCCAAAATCCAGATATTCAGAATTTTTAAAGGGAAAGTTCAGCCTAAAATCCAATTTTCACCAATTGTAGTCTTCGGGGTGCTGAGTCGAATGGTCTTGGTCCGAGGGCGAGGAAGCTGAGACGCTCCGTTCCTCCTTTGATCCGGTCCCCGCGGACCATTTGAACCATATGGGTGTAGAACCCGGTTCTGACCATCTGTGTCCTCCACCTTGTTTCATGCTGTCAATCTAACAATATGCGTGAACTATAACAAGGTTTATTTAATACTGGTTTTGAACCAGGGAGTAGTACAATAAGTATTGTTCTACTCCCTGTTTTGAACCAGTGTTAGCTTACTCAGTATAACAGAGAGCTTGGAAGCTCAGGGCCCTACGCTATGCCCTACGCTATGCCCTACGCTATGCCCTACGCTATGCTTTTTGCCTAGCTCATCGTGCATGTTATTAGAACTGATGGAAATGTTTTTTTCTTCATTGATTGGCTACATCATTGTATTGCAAAAACGTTTCAATCAGTTTGAATATGAGTAATAGGCAAAAGTATTTGCAGAATTTATTGCGGATTGTTATTTTTCTTCATCCACTTTTGGTTTGCTCCTTCTTTTCCTTTTATCTCCATATAATCGGATTTTCTGGCTTTTTATAGTAAAGCATTGACCTGTTGAGCCAATGAGGTAAAATTATATTCCATACAATACGATACGATACAACAATGTCCTTACCTTGATAGTGTGCTTGTGCTTAACTGTTGCTGACGGCCGAATGCATGGCGCCCCTCGGTAGGTGGGCCACCTCGGGACAACGGAACTGCAGCATGTCCGCGAACAGGAATGCTCGATGCACTGCACTATCCCCTAGGCCCCTCTATCCTACCTACCTACATGCATTCCCCCGTATACACTTCGCATGCACACTCATTCGGTACTCTTGATGGTACGGGACTCTTGATCGTACGGGACAGGTACGGGATAGCGCCAGACGGATGGCACAACCAAGTGACAAATAAAACACCAACAAAGTTGTTTTGCATAGCTACGGGAATAAACACCAAATTAAAGCTGTGTGGACGTTAATGCTATCGGCCTACATGCGCTTCCCTGGCTGGTCGACAGGCGGGCCAGCCAGCCTGTGCTACAATTTTTTGTAGTGGGATCTCGGCCTTGCACACAAATCCACACAAAACCTGTTGTGCGTTTACATGTCAAGCGGGCTGGCCCAGGGAGGCGGGATCCCGGCTTTGGCTCCCCCGATGCACATTTTTCTGGGTTCGTGAAAAGGGCCACGCGTGCAAGTCAGCTCGTTTGAAGTGCATGTTTTTGTATTTAGTTGATATGTACATATGTGGCAGCTTATGGAGACTTTTGCTCCCCGAGGTTGTGTATGTAAATCATTAGTCGTAAAGTGGTCTTCTTTCAATAATAACAACTCTCACGTGTACACTGTGTTTGTGGTCCCTGGCTAGCGCCAGACGTTACTGCACCATCGCCCTGCATGCATTCCCCCTATACACTTCGCATACATTATAAGTTTTTGTGGACTCTGGCTTGCGCCAGGCGTTACTGCATTACACTTCGGACCCTGCCTAGCACCAGACGTTACCATGGTTACTGCACCATCGCCCTGCTTCTTGCCCTGCATGCATTCCCCCTATACTTTCGACCCCATCTCTTCATGCCACCATCAGGAACTGTCGGATCCACATTTGTGAAGATCATTGCTGGATTGTACAGGCGTTTTGCAGAAGCTTCCGCTGGGGAGGGCATTGCAATCAAAGCCGCAATGGTCGCCACCCAGCTCCTCCTCCAAAAGCCACATCGCGCCGAAAGGAGACAGGAATTCCTAAACTGCCTGAACCGCAGACTCCCACTACGGGTGGTGACGTCGACCAGCTGGTGAGGGAAGCGCGCACCATCCAGCAGCAACTGGTATCCGCTGCCAAAGCCAAGCAGACTGGTAGCAAGCACCCCGATGATGCCCGCCGCGTTGCCAACCTGATAGCAGAGGGCAAAACCACCACGGCAGTCAGAATGCTGTCCGACACCAGCTCTAAGGGTGTCTTGTCCCTCGACGACAAGATCAACGGGCAAACAGTCAGGGACATTCTGACCGCCAAACATCCGATTACCATCGTGCCCTGTTGATCCAGTGTCACTGGAGGCCTACAATGCCTACCGGCTCATCCCCCTAGACAAACAACCAGGTGTGCGCCCTATTGGCGTTGGGGAAGTTGTGCGCCACGTGCTAGGGAAAACCATCTTGGCAGTGGTCGGTCCAGCCATCGAACAAGCAGTCGGCTCTCTCCAACTCTGTGCCGGCCAACAGTGTGGCATCGAAGCTGCAATTCACGCCATCAAGGCCACATTCGCAAATGACGACACGGAAGCCGTTCAACTTGCCGATGCCTCAAATGCCTTTAATTGCATTAACCGTGCTGCATGTCTCGCAAACATCCACCACCTCTGCCCGGAGTTCTCAACTACCGTCATCAACTCCTACCGCTCCCCATCCAAGCTCTTCGTCGGAGGCGAGACACTTCTGTCTTGCGAAGGTACCACCCAAGGCGATCCTCTCGCCATGGCCATGCATGCACTTGGAACGGTACCCCTCATACGAAGAGCCAAGTCCAGCGGTGCCCTTCAAGCCTGGTTCGCAGACGACTCAACAGCGGGTGGCAAGCTGCGGACGCTGCGTACGTGGTGGTCTATCCTGGAGGAAGAAGGGCCAGCTTTCGGCTACTTCATCAACGCCAAGAAGTCCATTCTTCTTACAAAACCAGACCATACCGACCTAGCAGTCGAGCTTTTTGGTGACACCAACGTGCACATCCGGGTGGACGGCTGTCGTCATTTGGGCGCAGTTCTGAGTGTCAAAAAAAAAAAAAAAAAAAAGTTCTGGGCACACCACAATACTGTGAGGGTTTTGTTGGATCGAAAGTCCAGGAGTGGTGCGCAGAGGTTGCAGTCTTAGCCCAGTATGCTGTCACCCAGCTCCAAGCAGCATTGGCGGCAGTTGGACAGGGCCTGCGGCACAAATCGGCCTTCATAGCCCGCACCGTGCCCGACACCACGCACTTGCTAGCTCCGTTGGAGGACACGATCCGCGCGAAGCTCATTCCCGCCATCACCCACCGACCTCCTCCAGGTGATCTTGAAAGGTCCATCCTAGCTCTACCCTGCAGAGACGGAGGTTTGGGGCTCATCATCTCGGCCTCCCTGTCAGTCCAGCATCGTGACTCCAAAGCTATCACACACGCCCTCGTAGAGCGTATCCTGCGTCAGGATGAATCCCTTGACGGCATCCCGCACGAGACAAGAAAAACGAAGGCAGATGCTTCATCACAAGCCCGCCGTGCACGCATGGCCCACGCCAAGTACAGCAAGGATAGTTGCCCTCCCGCCACGCTTCGGGTGCTGGAGCTGGCATCAGAGAAGGGAGCCTCTAGTTGGCTTACCTGCCGCCCGCTCCGTCGCTATGGTTTTGTCCTCAACAAACAAGCTTTCCGCGACTCGCTTCATTTGCGCTATGGTTGTATCCCGTCTGGACTGCCCTCAACCTGTGCATGCGGGGCCTCTTTCACACCTGAACACGCTTTGTCCTGCCCCATTGGCGGCTACCCTTCCATGCGTCACAACGACCTCCGTGATTTAAGCATCCCTCCTGAAGGACGTGGCCCATGACGTGAGCACCGAACCTTCGCTGCAACCGATCACCGGTGAGACCCTGCGTCATCGCACAGCGATCTCAGCCGACGGCACTCGCCTGGACGTGGCAGCATCCGGCATATGGGGTAGGCGTTTCGAGAAAACGTTCCTAGACATCCGCATCTTCAACCCTCATGCACGGTCCAACCGCCAGCAGTCACTTCCACCTACATACCGAAAACACGAAGCTGAGAAGAGGCGCTCGTATGAGGAGCGAATCCGTGAAATTGACCATGCGTCATTTGTGCCAGTCGTCTTGAGTGCATCTGGAGGATTCGGGAAAGCGGCCACTGCGCTCTACAACAGATAGATTAAGAGTTGCCTGTATGCTTTCGGACAAGAGAAAAGAGCCCTATTCCACCGTACTGGCCTGGATCAGGTTGTTGTTTTTTATTTGAATTCGCAAAAACCAAACGGGCAATAAGCCCAATTACATGGAAGCGAATAAAAGAATGCTATTACCAATGATTACAGAGGCATTTTGGTGAATATTATTTTCAAGTGGAAATACCGATCCCGGGAGGTACTACAAATAGGTACTGTACAATGAAAATCTGAAAAGGCCATGGTACTGTCGTTTACCATGCTGCAAGCAGCTACATGTAGAAGGAAAAACAACAAGAAAGACGTTGTATCTCATGTACTGGACAAACAGAGCTAACAGGAAAAGACCGTTCGTTAAAATGCCTACTATTATACATACTGTCCTTGTGTGTGTGTGTGTGCGTGTGTGTGTGTGTGTGTGTGTGTGTGTGTGTGTGTGTGTGTGTGTGTGTGTGTGTGTGTGTGTGTGTGTGTGTGTGTCAGGTCAAGGGTCTCTTTCTCTCTTGTCCGCTCAGCAAATGCTAGCCTCCGTGGACATCGCACTACTCAACCGAAATCTAACCGAGCTTTGGCTGACATTCTCGCTGTGCTGGCCGCAGAAGAATGCCACTTCTGATCCTCTGTTCCACATTTCTTCTTCTTTTACTTGTGTTGCGTTCACGGTTGATCTTGGTTTTTCAATTATTATTTGCCATGGTGACCCCGTAAGTCCAAATAACTGGCAGGGCAGGGTTGGGCCTTTTTCTTTTTCCACGAGTCTCTCTTTCCACCAGTCTTCGCACGCTTCACCGAACTAAAGAACGACTTTTCAAGTGAGCTAAATCTACGGGCCTCCTATGCGACTGGGTCGCCTATGAATTGTCTCGCAACGCTTTCGTTTCAGCCAACAAAACTGCAAGAGATAGCTACTACTCCCGCCTGGGACATGACCTTAATAATGGGTGCCAAACTAGAACATGGAGGAACCGTATGAAGTGGCTATGTGGCATTTCCTCACCCCTTGGCACAATACCAACTCTAGTTTCTGCAAATGGCTGTGACATAGTGACTGACTCTGAAAAGGCAAACCACTTAGCAGACCATTTCGCACGACAAAGTCAGACTCAGAACCAACAAAATCACCAACGGCGTACGCAACAACCCACAGCGCCTTGCACACCACAAGCACCACAGCTCGAAAATTTGTTTGAATTGGACGAGGTTACTCCTGATCAAGTCTTTGATGAAATAAAACTGCTAAAGGTCCATAAGTCCTCAGGCGGACCCATTTCTAACACTCTTCTGCGGGAGACCGCCTCGGTAATCTGTGATTCTTTGGCAACGCTTTTCAACATTTTCATTCGGACGAGCTCCTTCCCTGGTCAATGGAAAACTGCTGTCATCACACCAGTCCCCAAACCAAAAAAACCATCGCACTCAGCTGAAGGTTATCGTCCAATTTCTATCCTGCCCAGTATTGGGAAACTTTTTGACAAGCTGGTTAACCAACAACTCGTTCGTTTCCTGATGGACAATAATATCCTCAGCCAGACACAATTCGGATTTGTTCCTAAACGGTCCGCAATTGATCAACTCCTTGTATTAACACACAATATATACTCTGCATTGAACCTGCGTTGTACATACAACATGATATTCTTGGATTTCGCGAAAGCGTTTGACGTAGTTTCTCACCACGACCTTATCAAAAAACTCACCTCGTTTGCCAACACCTCGACCACCCGCTGGTTTGAAGACTACTTGGTGGGCAGACGCATTCAGGTTCGAGTTAGTGACTCACTGAGTGACCCCCGTCTTCTCTCTGCTGGTGTCCCACAAGGCTCTCACTTGGGTCAAGCCTTATTCCTCCTATATATTAACACCCTGCCTTCGTTAGTGCAATCAGATCTGTATCTCTTTGCCGACGATACAGCATTAGGTAACACATCGTCATCCGAACTACAAGAAGACCTGGACGCGGGTGGATCTTGGGCTCTCTCCGTGGGGGGGGGGGAGAGATTACAATGCTGAGAAGTCAGCACATGTGGTTTTCTCCTCCTCAACGGACCCTCCTCCCTACACCGTCTCCCTTAATAACCGTAACATCCCAAAACTCAACGAGCACCGCCACCTCGGAGTCATCTTGGCTCACAACATGTCCTGGCAGCCACATTTCCTTCAAATGATAACGAAATTTCGCCAACGCATTGTTCTGCTGTGCCACATGGCCTCTCGTTTACCGCCTGCCGCCATATTGGCGCTTTACCGCGGATATGTTCGGCCCGTGGCGGAATACGCTAGCCAGCTTTGGTTCTGTGGCGTACCTGCACGAGATACCGGATCACTGGACCGCCTTCAGGCAAAGGTCGCTAGACGATACCTGTACCGGAAAGGCTGCGCAGCTGAATGGAGCACTTCCAAATCCGAGCTCTTTCGTGCAGCCGGTTTGGAATCCCTCAGTTGGCGCAGACACATTGGAGCCCTCTGTCTGGTTTTTAACGTTATAAAGTTTCATCCACACCTTCTTCGTGCGTGTCACTTCTCTCTTAGCTCTAGTGCCCGTCGCCCATTCTATCTGCTATTTGCTTCTGCTCAGGGTCCATATCGAAGCCGCCATGTTCTCTCCCATTTCCTAGCTGTATGGAACAATTTGCCAAAGGACTTGCGTGAGATTGCACATGCTCACACATTCAAAAGACATTTCTCTCAGTACTGTTACGACATTGCTGGGATCCCTGGATTTTAAACTGTGTTTTTTCTTTCTTTTTCCCGTCGCGTGTGCATGTGCTGCTGTTGTCCGACGCACCCCTGGCCTGCAAGCACTTCTCTGACATCCGAGGCTTCATGTTCTTGGTTGTTTGTTTTCTGACGTTTTTTGCTGGCTGAGCTCCTTGCTCTGTGTTTGGTCCGGAGCAGGGAGTAGTACAATACCGGGTATTGTACTACTCCCTGGTCCGGAGACACCTCATTCTCTTGATGGTACCGTACTCTTGATGGTACGGGACATGCACGGGATAGCGCTTGATGGTACGGTACGATACGGGACAGATACATGTACATGTAAATGTTTTATTTTTTATTTTTAGGTAGAACAGCCTTTTTTTTAGGGCCACAAGCAACACAATGATGAGAAGGAAGATAATAATCTTTTACGGGCAAAAGCAACACAATGATGAGAAACCAGGGTATGATAGGAAGATCATAATAATAATACACAGGTGTGGAAAATATGTCTCCGGAGTGGCGAGAGTTTTTACACTAAAACACAACTGGTTTTAGATCCGGCTTTCAACCACCGCCAGCTCCCTGAGCTCGTTAGCTGGACGATGGTATGCCGACCGAGACCCACGGACACACATGACAGCGGACCGGAGCAGCGCGAAAGACAGCCTGCAGCGCACATATGCAACATGGTGTGCATAGGGCATGCTGGAATCAGCCCTGGCAAGCAAGCCACAGAGGCGCTTAGGGAACCTTTCACATTCAGGGGAGGCAACACCAGAAGTTGACAACACCAGCGGGCTGAACGTGCCACGATCCACATTGAGGATTCGCTCTCCGTACTGCAGCTTCTTCTGGCGCTCGTGCTGAAGCAGTAGGGCATCCAGTGGTTGGGCCGAGTAGGACGCCGCATCAGGATGAAAGACGCGTACGTCAAAGAAAGCATCCTGTGCTCGGGTCCAGAAGCCACGGGCACGGACATCAGCGCGGGCATCCTCGGCGGTGTTTGTCGATGCAGCCGTAAACACCTCTCCAGAGAGTGGGGCTAGCTGAGGCTCGATTGCCACTGCGTGGCAGACCTCCGTGAGTAGCTCCCCTACCATGTCACGGACTCCGTTATGGCGGATTGTAGGGAAGCCACCCCGGGGGCAACACATGGCATGAGCAGTGGAGAACAGAACTCCGCAGGCACACTTCGTGGGGACATCGAGGAGAGGCCAGTCATACCGCAATGCAAGGCCGTCCCTGAACTCCTGCTTCGAGAGGTGGAACCCATGTTCCTTGAGAGGAGGAGCAGTGAGCCAGGAAGAGGGGCCTTTGCGGGACAGTTCATCCATACGACGGGCCAAGGGGCGGTCCGCAGCTTCTCGGAGAGCAGGCAGCACTAGCTTTCTTGGTGACTTGGCAGCAGATGCTCTCTCACGTCGGGCTAGCCGATCCACAAAGTCGCAGGAATGATGCTGCCACTTTCTATCGTGCTGGTGCCAGCGGTGGATGATCTCGTCAACCTGGCTGGCTGCTCGTGGAAAGTACCGGTATTCTAACATGTGTGATAAAGGATCTAGGAGTCGTAAACGTCTCGTATTTTACGACTCATTACACGTACACGTACGTAGAGTCATAGACGTGCTAAGCTTGGCTCGGGAAAAGATGACATCATTATAATTATTATTTTTGCACATGTGGATAAAACTTGAAAGACAAAAAAGAGTTTGGGATTTTGGAATTTTATTTGAAGTGTGGAATACTAACTTTGGGGAGTTGTGTGCTAGTGGCGGCGAGAGTACGTGCAGCTCGAGGGACTCGTCCCGTCCGCCTTACAACCTCCTTCATGCTCGTGGCTTTCTTGCAATGGAGCTGAAAGTCGGTTGGGATGCAGCGTTGTAAACGGAGATGCTGTACGTCTGCGCCGGACTTGCTGTGAGCGACTGAAAAATAAATTATACCAACATTGGGAGTTGCTGAAAAGCATGGAGTATTTCGACGACGACGATGACGACGGAGGGGCGAACCCGTTCCCGCTCCGTCACCAGCAGGGCTATCGTGGACGGGGTCGTGGTCGTGGCGGCCGCGGCGTTGGGGTGTTTCGTCGCCGTGACCAGGACAAGGACCACAACGACGGCGACAAGCGCCACGCCGGGCTGCAACTTGAGGACGACGCCATGGTCCTTTCCTATAGTAAGCGCTTCGCGGGCGATCCGGGATCCGTGATCTACCTGTCGCACAAGATCAGCCCGGAGTTCAACTACTTTGAGATTGAAATCATCAGCTGGGGTATGGAGGGGCGTATTGGACTAGGTCTCGCCCACAGTGACTACCCGCTGGGCAACATGCCTGGATGGCGGCAGGGCAGCATCGGCTATCACGCGGACGACGGCCGTCTGTTCCACGAGAACGGGCACGGCAGCCAGTTCGGGCCCAAGTGCGCGGTGGGCGATCGCATGGGCTGCGGCGTGGAGTTCCCTGGCGCTGGCGGCGGTGCCGGTATCGGTGGTGAAGCGGCCAGGGACGAGGAGAGCGACGACAACGAGGATGATGATGACGACGACGACTCCGACGACGACGGCGGTCGCGGCCTGTATGCGAAGCGGCGGTACGGCTCGTCCGTCACTGTCTACTTCACGCGCAACGGCGAGCGTGTGGGCCGCTCCGTGTCCATGCAGCAGCGCAGCAACGGGGGCCTGTTCCCGGCGGTGGCCCTGCACAGCGAGGGCGAGAAGGTGCGCGTCGATCTTGAGGTGGCGTCGGCGAACCCGGACGCGCGCGAGGTCAAGATGCGCGTCATCAAGTGCGCGCCGGTGGCAGCGCTGGGGGCAGGCTTCCTGGCGGGAGTGCCCGAAGACGTGCCCGTCTGGAATCGTCTCTACAACGTTGAGCAAGTCGGCAATTGTCTTCACTATACATCGTTGAGCAATTCGGGCCTTGCGCAGTGCGAACAGCCCATGAGTCTTCGCCATCCCTATTTTGAACTGGAGATCGTGAATAGCGGCGAGAATGGATACGTGGCGATCGGAGTAGCACACTCCAAGTACCCTTTTGGCCAACATCCTGGTAGGTCTGTGTGTGTGTGTGTATATATGTGTGTGTTGTGTGTGTGTGTGTGTGTGTGTGTGTGTGTGTGTGTGTGTGTGTGTGTGTGTGTGTGTGTGTGTGTGTGTGCGTGTGTGTGTGGTGTGTGGGTGTGTACGTGTGTGTATATATATGTGTGTGTGTGTGGTGTGTGTGTGTGTGTGTGTATATATTATATGTGTGTGTGTGTGTGTGTGTGTGTGTGTGTGTGTGTGTGTGTGTGTGTGTGTGTGTGTGTGTGTGTGTGTGTGTGTGCGTGTATGTGTGTGTGTGTGTGCGTGTGTGTGTGTGCGTGTGTGGTGTGTGGGCGTGTACGTGTGTGTATATATATATGTGTGTGTGTGTGTGGTGTGTGTGTGTGTGTGTGTGTGTGTGTCACTGGCCAGAAAAATCACTTCAAATAGCTGTATGGTGTAGACCAGGCTGAATAGTGACGGTCAATTCTTCAGCCTTGCAAGCTGTTGGATGGTGCAATCCTAGCACAAGTTGCTATGGCTTCTGCCGTAGCATTGCTATCATCGCCTCTGGCGATGGGCGTCAAAGGTGTGTGTGTGTGTGTGTGTGTGTGTGTGTGTGTGTGTGTGTGTGTGTGTGTGTGTGTGTGTGTGTGTATGGTACATTATGTATGTGTGTGCGTGCGTGTGTGTGTGTGTAGGGATTCACTGGCCAGAAAAAGCCACTTCATAGCTGTGTGGTGTAGATCAGGCTGAATAGTGGCGGTCAATTCTTCAGCATTGCAAGTTGTTGAATGGTGCAATCCCAGCACAAGCTGCTATGGCTTCTGCTGTAGCATCGCTATCCTCGCCTTCGGCGATGGGCGTCCAATGGTCCAATGGTGTGTGTGGGTGTGTGTGTGTGTATGCATGCGCATTTTGTACCTTTCCAAGATTCCACCCAGCAGCACCGAGTCGGGCTCATTCATAAGTAATGCATAGCATAGTCACGGTTACACAAATGTATTGCATCGTCACGGGTTACACGAATGTATTGTAACGGCACGGTGGTTACACGAATTGAAAAGATGGTTGCATTGTCTCTTATTTTTTTAGACCTAGATTGCGCATTCTGTGCATGTGTCATCTTTTCAGGGTGGAAGAAATTCAGCGTGGCATATCATGCTGATGATGGTAAACTGTTCAATGGAAGAGGCGATGGGGAGCAATTCGGGCCTGCCTGCAAGCAAGGAGATCGAATGGGGTGTGGCATCTACTTTCGTCCCGGCGAAAAGGTCAGCCGCGGTCTGTTTGTGCGTTGTGCCGGGTGTCGTGTGTGTGTGTGTGTGTGTGTGTGTGTGTGAGTGTGTGTGTGTGTGAGAGAGAGAGAGAGAGAGAGAGAGAGAGAGAGAGAGAGAAAGAGCGAGAGAGAGAGAGAGAGAGAGCATATGCGTGCACAGTGCTTTTTTTGCTAACAGTCGAATGCTGCCACCATAGCACAATTTTCAGACGTGGTCGACGTAAGTTCACAAACGCTGTTCTACCAGATTTAGTAGTTTTTCACGATATGTACGTGAGATGTTTCTCTTCTGTATTAAGTTGTGCACAGCTACTTGATCTTGCTGGAAATCCCGTACTTCTACCAACTTCTACCGACCTCTACCATCTTCAAACTTGGTAGAGCCGGTAGAGAAAGGTAGAATCTACTCTTTTGAGTAGAAAAAAGGAACGCATCTACCGAAAGAAGTAGTTTCTACCCAAACATGTAGATCAAAAACGAACGCCCCCTAATGGGGTATTCACACGACAGGCAAATCCATGTGCACCGGAAAGTTGCTATGGTATTTGACCTGTGAACGAGAAAAGTGGTTGGAAGTGGCTGAAAAGTGAAAGCGAGGCGGGGGCCCACTTTCACGATAATCGTGGCGTGCACGCCAGTACATTTACACAAAAAAGCGCGAAACAAGACTTGTTTTTTTACGCTGCTCTTTAGAGCATGATAATTATTGTATGCGTGTTTTGAAAATTTGAAATACCCATGGCTACTGGTCGGTGAAGCATTCAAAAATGCAAACGTGCCTGTCGTCAAGTGCAGCTGTGTGAATCCACACAGTCACTTTTCTCGTATGTCACTCCCTGTAAAACGTACAAGTGCCTGTCGTGTGAATACCCCATAATCCATACATTGAACATCACGAATACAGGTAGACTCCCTTTAATTCGAACCTCAAATTGCCAGGCCCAAACTTCGAATTATCCGGAACTTCTAATTATCCAAATGCAGCCCCATGCACTGATATGTATGTCAAAATGCTTGAAATCGCATGCCGAATATTGTTTGCACATTTTTATTTGCATCAACGAAACATAGGTGGTCGTACCGGTGCGCGGTCATGTACAACGGATTATCAAAACACTGGATCGACACAAAATCATTCTGACATTATCTTCATCTTCTAGTGAAGAAGTTGTCAGTCACTGCAGCTTTCCTGAAACAATATCAACGGAAAAGAACTGCGCTGCCTAATCCGCGTCATGAAAGGCCGTTGGACAGCAGCACGTCGTTCTGAAGAACGGAAGTGGAGCAAAGGCATAGACAATATTTACGACAATAGTGTTGTTGTGCGCCAACATCTCCGCGCACGAGCTGGCGCGGTAAGAAATGCCATCGAGATCCGCGAAGAGAGTCAGCCACCTGGAAGAAGTCGTCTTCAATCAAACCTTTGCAATTTGCTTGAATCAAATTTCGAGAGAAGGTGGGTTTCTTGAACGCTATAGTCGATCCTGCAGCGGACCATCGATCGATTTTTTAGCTACTCTTGGCTAGAGAAGGAGAAAAGAATGAACTTCGAATTACAAGGATAGCAACTCAATCTCACTTCGAAATAAGCGTTCAAAGGACATAGCCAATGTACTGTAAACAGCTCTTCTGTACGAAGACTGGGTTCGAATTATCCAACCGGCGCACTTTTCGTACTTCGAATTATGCATTCGATTTTGACTTGAAGTGACTTGCAGAAGATCGGTACGACGAAAAAATTCGAATTACACGGAATGTTCGAATTATACCGTATTCGAATTAGAGGGAGTCTACCTGTATCTACAATTCACGAATAAAGCACTTTTCTCATGTACGATTGACTGTCGGTTTGTCTGCACACATTTTTCTTCCTCTATCCATGGCTGAGTTTTAGTCTGCTGCTCTGTGCGTACAGCCGCCGGTAAACTCAGCGTATCATTTGCGTCTCTCTCTCTCTCTCTCTCTCTCTATCTATCTATCTATCTATCTATCTCTCATTCTCACTCTCTCTCTCTCTCTCTCTCTCTCTCTCTCTCTCTCTCCTGTCCTCTCCTTCCCTCTCCTTCCCTCTCCTCTCTCCTTGTCCTTTCTCCATCGTCTTGCAGGGAATCGCTGGGAGCTGGGATCCGCCAAGCTCATCAGATGACTCGGAAGATGACGATGAGAACAGTGGCTCTATTGGCGATAGCTCGTCGTCTGAAGAGGAATGTACGGAGGACCGGCGTGTGTATGTGTACTTTACGCACAATGGCAAGAAGATTGGCGGCTGTGCAAGCGTTGTGCCCGCAGGAGGCTACTTCCCAACGGTTGGTCTGATGAGCTCCGGCGAGGTCGTGAAGACGTTTGTTAGGGCGATTACCGGTTAGTCGCACGTGTGTGTGTGTGCGTGTGTGCGTGCGCGTGTGTGTGAGCGGTGTGTGTGTGTGTGTGTGTGTGTGTGTGTGTGTGTGTGTGTGTGTGTGTGCAACATTCTTTCTGGCAAAGAAATGATGCTTGTGAAGCTGTGAGCGAGTTTGGACCATGTCACTCCCCCTCCCACCACCTCTCTCCATGTATTCAGATTAGCTATCCATTGAAATAATAATTATCATTTTTATTACCAACTTGCCCAGCATGTGCGCTGTTAACTTGTGCATCCTACCCATGGAGTCGTGCAGTCCGCGTGCTTGTGAATTGCCCATAACCTATCTCCTGCTGCGTATAGTTCTCCGATTTGGCTGTCTTTTTTGACGAAAGGCAGCATTGGTGGCAATGGTGGTCAAGCAGAGTAGTGCAGACGTGCCTCCCCATTACGCACATCTCATTCGTTGTCGCGATGATTGTGTGGTGTTTAGCTTGTCGCCAACTCTATTTCCTTGATACGGCGCGCCTCCTCTCCCCGACCATGTCCCCATGAGAAGTGTCTGCTCGCGGGCCTTTTTTACTTTTACTGGCAAGAATCACCTTACTTTTACATAAGTCATAGCTGAATGTAACTTGGCGCTGTTGAAGTTTCTGTCGCTAGCAGGTGACAGTTTTTGTTTGTTTGTCGCGACGCCGTTTCCGGTTTGCGCCCTGCCACCCTCCCCTCACCCCTTACCACCCCCCTAGTCTTTGCGTTGTGTTGAGAATATCCCGGCAAAGCGTCCCATTGTGTCTGCCCCATGTACAGATTGTTGCTGTTGCTGTTGTTGCTGTTGTTGTTTTTATTATTGAATCTAATTTCCCCCCCCCCCTTTTGTACAAATTTTCATCTATATTTGGATATAAGCTTTTTAAAAGCGCTCTTGCAGTGCAGTTGCAGTATGCTCATGTTATTTGCTGCAGCTCAAGATTTTTTGATGAACATATTCGTAGCAGCGTGGATTGGTTTGTCTGCGTGAAAATACCGCCACCAAAGCTAGCTCTCGGTGTTTTTTTTTGTAAGCAGGGAGTAGTAAAATACCTACTCCCTGCTTTTAATGACATTGTATCAAGAGTCCTCTTGATTGTATGGATAGCGCGCGGGAGCAGCTTTGCCTGCTGTTTTTGGGTGAACTCCGACCCATCTCAGCTTATCTGGCGCCCGGGCCTGGGCATACACAGCCCCTGGTGCCCAGCGGTGGTACACATGCTGCCGATCACACTGTCTGTAGCTGTACCGGCATAGGGTGCCGAAGAACTGGAGGTCAGCCTCGCACCCTGTGTAGGCCGTTCTTATCTTCAGCCATAACTGTCAATGCGCATCGTAGTCACGGCGTATGTATTGGTCTGTCCCCACAGAATAACGCGGACAAAATCCTAAAATTATGCGCATAATTATGCGGGCGAAAACAGGCCACTAGAGAGGTTAAAATTAAGTTACACGTTTTTTGCCCTTTTTCAAAACGCGGTGCAAATCTCACGTTACGTGTAATTTTTAGAGGTTAAGTTACACGTGCGACGTGACGTGAAATTTTGCCTGGCAGGATTCGGGTTTAGTTCGCACAAATATCAAATCTTCCAACAAACTCGATAAAATTCCGGAAACTCACACAAATTCGGTCGGAATAACCAAGCGAAACTTCCAAAAACTCACGTCATGAACTTACGTGCGGGACAGTCAACTCACGTAAAACACGTCAAATTTTACGTGAGTTTTTTCACTTTTTGACGTAAAAGTTCACGGACGTAAGACTTTTACGTGACTTTTACTCTATTATGTGGCAAATATGCGGGATTATGCGGCAAATATGCGGGTTAATGCGGTCAATAGAGAGGTTAAGTTTCATTATGCACGAGTTTTCTGTCACTGGTACAACTTCAGGGTGCAGTCTCATGCAAGAATTCAACTTTGTCGTACAAACTCATGAACCCATACGACTTTGTAGTACATTTTCAACAGCATGCACTATTTTCTTGTACATTCTCATGGATAACGCGGGATTTATGCGAAATCTCACGAAAACGCGGATGATAACCAATAACGCGGAAAATCCCGCGTCCGCGGAATCGCGGTATCCTGTGGGGACAGATTGGTATGCTGTGCTTGGTGAAATCATAGAGCCTGTTCCTTCTTCGATCCCCGGCAGTACTGTACATACGCACGTATGCAGCGATGTAATGGTAGGTGGTGGCTGACGTCGGTCCATGCCGGGTTTGGCTTCACACCAGCACAATTGGTATCGGTCAAACACACGCGTCCTCCGGGCAATGCCGGTAGTAAAGAGTCTACTAAAGACGGTCATAACACACTCGTCCTCCGGGCAATGCCGGTAGTAAAGAGTCTACTAAAGACGGTCATAACACACGCGTCCTCCGGGCAATGCCGGTAGTAAAGAGTCTACTAAAGACGGTCATAATAAACGCACGTGCATTAACTTAATCTTGTCATGCAGAGCATAATTAACACTGTCCTGAGCGGCCTTGGCTTTATGAATATGAGCATCGATATGTACCAAGAAGACATACCCCCCCCCCCCCCCCAGAAACTTTCCAGGACCTGGCACTATGAAGAGTGGGCTAATGGGTATGTACCCCCCTCCCCCATCCAATAGATACATGTACCCCCCCCCCCCTCCAACGAGACTGTCGACCCGCGATCGACCTGGCACTCTGCATACTGGGCTGGCTGTGCGCTGCACTACAGCAACGGCATGGCTGTGCATCTCACTTTCCCAGCATGGCTGTGCATCTCGCTTTCCCAGCATGGCTGGCTGTGCATCTCGCTTTCCCAGCACAGTACAAAACCATACAACTCACTGTGTGTGTATCTGTACCCACATGTAGAAAACGTTCAAGCATACTAGCTGCAGGGCTGAAACTTGGAACAGCAGAAATCAAAGCAGTGTCACGTGATCAAGTGCTCGGCATCTTCAAGTCAGGCTACTCTAGCCGCAGAATGAATAAGAGAATGTGAAATAAATCGCTTGACTCCACACGTGCCAAGTTTCACAGGATGCCAGCTGGAGGACTGGTCAAGCCGTGCCAAACGGGCTCTCAATATGGCGTGTACGTAATATCACTGTGTGAGAGTGGCAGGCCGCCAGGACATGCAGCATTATTCGACTAGCAAGCACGCGGCGCGTCATACTGTGTTCGTGCCACACCCAGTGTATCCGCTTTCTGGGCATGAACACATCACTAGTAGTGGCAGCACATCAATGACGTCATCACGGATGAATGACGTCATCACGGATTCGATGCCGAACAGTGTTTGGACGTCGGTCTCGCGTTCCGATATCATTTAAATCTGCATTCTGGGCATGAACTCATCACTGGTGACAGCGTAATGGGTGATGTCACCACAGCAGATTCGATGCTGCAAAGTAGCTGACGATGGTCTCGAATTCCGGTCCCGTTAGATAATCTCACTGGCGAGTCGACGGCAATTATGTCATTGAAATTGATGCTGACGTCATGGCATCAGATTCGACTCTGACGTCATAATTATGGCGAGGCATTCCTTGACCGGCAGCAGGGCAACGTCAAAGCCATCTACCGCAGTGCGTAACATTATGAACTGAGACTATGAGAGCTCCGGTTATGACATCACACAGGACATCCATCCGTGTACACTCATTCCACCGCTATATTTGTGCCTCATGATGCTGGAGTGCAGGCGGGAAACCGGAAGGCAGAGCGTCAGCAATCAGGAGGTAGGTTGAATGACGGCGGGGATTGGTTTTGACATCACACAAAACATCCATCTGTGCACACTCATTCCACCGCCATCTGTGGTTTGCAATGCTGGAGTGTAGGCGGGCAACATGAATAGAGGGCAGGGCGTTAGTACTCGGGAGGCGGATCGGACGGTGGCGGAGGTTTGGCTTTCCGCGGCGGAGCCAGCTGCCTGGGTGTTGGCTGCGGGGCGGCAGGAGGCTCAGCGTACATCGGGCCGCTGAAGGCAAACTCAGGCGGTGACTGTGGTCTCTCCGGCTGGTGGCCGTCGTCGAGAGTGTCATGATACGACTGTACCTCCTGGTCCAGCGAGAACTTGACGTGACGACCGGCCACGCCGTGGAAGAACTCGTAGTCGGCGCTCTTGCTGTCGCTGTGCGTGTTCGGATAGCCGCAGAGCATGTAGCCCGGCTGTGGCGGGACTTGGGCGTTGTTCTCGTACTTGGAGAGGGTCATGCTGTGAGCGGAGGGTGCCGCCGCCATGGAGTTTGGGCCGACGCGCGGCCACATGCCATGCATGCCGCGACTCAAGCGTCCGCGCGTGCTCCCTGCGGCGACGGTGGTGGTGTTGCTCTGCGGCTGCAGTGCACTCGCGCTCGATGCCTGCTGTGTTCTCCTCTGCGGCGTCGGCTTCGTTGGGTGCAGTGTGTGCGAAGAAGTGCTGCCGTTTGCCGCATGGCCACCGCCGTGCGGGTACGCCGTGTTGATTCGACGACTCTCGTCGTTCTGTTTCTGGTGTAGCTGGGCAGCAGCGGGCAGAGCCAAGCCCAGCAGACTGACGGCAAGCAGAACGAGGTTGAGCGCGACGTCGTACAGCTGATTGCTGGCCCCGCGGCTATAGTGACGCACCAGGTTCAGCGCCAGCCAGACGGCGAAGAAGACGATCGCCGACACGGGCAGCAGAGCGCTCTCGCCGCTCCGCCATGCCGACAGCGACATGAAGAGCGTCGCCAGGGCAACCACGCAGCCCATTGCAACCATCACGGACATAGCCGCCGTCGAGTGGTGGCAGGTCAGCGCCGTCACGCGCTCCGTTTCCACGGTGATTCGGGCGGTGGCCGGGCTGGCGACTAGGCAGATGAGCGCAGCTATCAGCACAGCCGTTGTCAGACTAGCCAGGTAGAGTAGGGACTTGGACCAGTCGTCGCTGCCCCCGCCGTCACTGCTCCCCTCCTCGTCGGAGTTCACCAGCGATCGCGAGAGCACGAACAGACACACGCACAGACCGAACGCGCCGAAGACGACGTGACGCAGGATGAACCTCAGCGAGCACGAGCCCACCGTCGGCAACAGAACGTGCAACGGCGTTGTCAGGGCAACCGCCATGCATACGGAGATCAACAGCACCAGGCCGATGTCGCGCGCATGCCCTTGATACTGCCAGCGTAGCAGGACCAGCAACAAAGCTACCAGTATCAGCAGGGCTATGCTAGCTATGGCTAGAACAGCGATGGCACGCGGGTCGGTCCAGCGCAGAACGTCCAGCTCGAGTTCCTGGCAGGCGGTGCCCTGCGCGTTGGCAATCCAGCTGTCGGGACACTGGCGACACTCGTCGGAGTTCTCCTCCGCGCTGTACAGCCCTGGCTGGCACGTGGTGCAAGTGCTACAGTGCGCTGCACACCGCCCGGTTCCCGTGTTGCCGTCCGCCGATGGCGTCTCGCGCCGGGTGCCCGGCGCACAGTCTGGCTCGCACAGGGCGGCAAACTCGTCCACGTCTGCCTGGCTGATGCTCCGGCGTATCGTATTCTCCACTATGCTCCTGATCTTCCAGTCGGTGACGTGCTGCAGGGATGCTGAGCTGGCACGCTTGCGGGATATGCTGTAGCGGGGCAGCTTGAATGACGCGAACGCCTCCTGGTACGTCATCGTGCTGTTGTCGGTGGCGCGAGCGGTCGCGTTCCTGAGCGCCTCTCGGAACAGCGCCGCCTTCGGTTTGAAGCTCGCCATCGGGCAAGTCATGGCGGCGGCTGTGGCGGCTGCTTTGGCCGCCGGAGGTGGCCCGACAGCGGGTGTAGAGGCAGGTCCACGGACAGGAGCCTGTAAGGGTTGCAGTGCTGATGCCGGCGCTGATGCCGGCGCTCTGCCGCCGGCAATGCTGCAGTAGAGACGCGAGAGGCCATCCACGGCCGCGGCAATCAGCCGCACCGCGTCGATGACCTGCCGGGCCAGCGGCTGCGGTGCAAACTCCGGCGGGTTGGAGACGATGCGCTGGCAGAGCTGCATCTC